AAAAATGAAACAGGCAAGAACGATGGCAAGCAGCCGACGAATGAGAGCACAGTCACATATAGGATCCGACAGAACGTTGCAAATACCTCTTGTTCAGGGCAAATGCGTCCAAAATGATTGAAAGCTTCCAGGATGCGTCAGAAAACGGGTGGAATCAGAAAAACGATCATGAAAACGGGAAAAAACACCAAAAAACATGAAAATACAAAATATATAGCAAAATTACGGAAAACAAGCTAAATTGCCCAAACCACACACCTGAACTTCGTGGAACTTCGTGGAACTTCGTGGGGGCCTCAAAATCTATGAAAATCTCCTAAAAATACTTGGTTTATCTTGGTTTTTTGGTCCTAGAACTTCGTGGAACTTCGTGGAACTTCGTGGGACTTCGTGCAAACGCACGTTTCCCTTAATTTTTCATGTTTTGGGTGTTTTTTGCCAAATCGCAGCTTGATTCACTGAAATTCATTGTGCGGATGTGCGTTTTTGTTGATTTTCCTACCTCTGAACTATCTTTGCCAAATTGGAGCTTGATTCGTTGGAATCCAACGTGAAAACATGTATTCCCAATTGTTTTAAATAATTTTCATATGTTTTAGCGATTTCGAGCACATTGGAAACTGATTCAATTGACTTCGCTGCAAAAACACATTTTCAATGATTTTCAAACCATTTTAGCAATGTTTAATTTAATCGGAGCCTGATTCACGAAATTATATTTGATCCGTGCACAAAGTCAGCCCTCGAGGCACCATCGCAGCAAAATTTGAAAAGACACATATTCCTAGGATTACAGAAGGGCAGGTTGCCACATGAAGACCACAAATCAATGTTTCAAACCATGAATTTCCGATTATCGGACAAATGAAGGGGAAGGCATGCACAACAAGACACCAAGGCTCCTGCATTAGGAACTGCAGTGCCATGCTTACTTCCTGAATAAAGCAGCGGCGCAATGTCCTCCCCACATATTCACCTTTCCCTCTCCGCGAAAAATTTCTGGGAGGACGACTTTCCTTTCCCGCGATGTCACTATGGATACTGTCAAGGCATCTGTGTGCCTGTGTGCATCAGTTCGTCAACAATGTGGCCTGCAAGAACAGAAATCGGCACCGAGCCTGCTCACCACCGCCCTCACATGTGTGATTGCGATGGCGCCCACATCATGCACACAAAGCTGTCACAGCCACAAAATTGCCACAAACCAAGGCGAAAACGCAGCAAAAGAACCCAATCAGTTCAAGTGATCCAACCGAGCCCTGTGGCCCAGCAGGGCTGCGCGCAAGGACCGGGCCTCAACTTACCAGGTCTGTGATCTTCTTGGAGTAGCCGATCTGCTGTTCTTGCCTTTGCCACCTTTGTCCTTCCTCTTGTCCCAATGATATTGGGAGTGACTGTATTGGCATTTGTCACCATGCTTGCAATTGCCCTTGTTGAAGTGGAAGTGACAGAAGGTCTTCGAAGTATCTCGTGTGGAAGGTGATCTCGATCGTTTGCCACCCTTGCCTTTCCCCTTGCCATGGCTCTTGGGATTGCCGGAAGGTAGAACAGGAGCTCCAGGTTTGCCTTTGGGTGCTGGAGCACTCGGTTTTCCACCTTTTCCATCTTTCGGCGTAGGAGCCGGAGCCGTCGGCTTCGGAGCTGGGGTAGAAGGCTTACCAAGATTGGTGTAGTCCGTGGCGAACTTGTCCCTGGCCGCGATATTGCGGTCTTCGCGTGCACGTGCTATGTGCCTCCTCATTATCTCCAAGAGTTCACCGTATGATTTCTTCTTGTCATCATTGTCCCTACCTTTGAAGATCGTGAGGTCAACGTGCAACGCCTGGGAACCGTCAATCTTCCTCAGCAGATGATCACGCAGTGTATTGTCAGATGGAATGTCCTCAGCTTTCATGTTGGCGATGATCTCAATCCAAGCATGGAGGAACTTATCCATCTCTTTGTCACCACGATACTGTAACTTGTAGATGTGGCTGGCATTGAACAATACTTCATCTTTTGATGTTGTTCTGAAATGATCTAGCACCATTGCCAAAATCTCCCTGCCCATCAGGAAATTTCCTTCTTTTCCCAGAACTTGACTCCTCTGTCTAATCCGAACCTTGACCTCCGATGCTGTCTCGCCAGCGGAGTCTACCATGTTCTGCAAGGCTATGGATAACTTGGAGTCGATGGACTGGAAACGGAATTCTCCTGAATCAGCAAGTTCGGCATAGTCAGGACTGGGTAATAGAGCAGGAGATAGCCATCTTCTCCACGCAGCCGTGTCTGGATCACCTGATGCAACACATACGGCCTGCACGACGTTGGAGCGCCAAACATCAAGGTCTTGACATTTTGGCCATGGTTTGACAGTGACCTTCTCGTGCTCCTTCCTGGAAATTCTGGTTACCCAATCTTTGCCATCTTGACCAGCATCACTGTTTGCAACAGTAGCATCTTTGCCATCCTTCCGTTCCCAAAGTCCAGGAGGATTGTCAGGAACGGGCTCAAATTCAGGGGTTTTGTTGTCTTTCAAAGATTCTTGCCCTTCTTCAGCTTGTTCCAGCCAACTTTGGTACTCTTTCATCTCGTCATAGTTCTGTTGAGCTTGTTCTTCAGACCGACGAAGCTTCTCACGAAGTTCATCGATCTCACTGTTGGTCTGGTTCTTGATGGCATTGCTCATGCTAGGTGATGGTGGTGGAGGTAGAGCAGGATCATGATTCTTGGTCGTAGAGGATGCTTTGGGAGTACCCATAGGTGTTGAAATCGATACTGCAAATGATGGAGTTTTGCCAGTAAGTGCAGTCGTCCTCGGAACTAGGGTCGTAGGAGGCACAGCTGATGGTGCAGCTGGTACTGTAGCTCTGGTCGATACTCTGCTCCATGACGCTGGCACTGTGCTCATTGTCAATCTCGCATCATGAAGTGATTGTTTCAGCGAGTCATTCTTTCTGATCACATGGTCACGTTCAGAGCATGCCGACTGATAGAGCTTCTTGTACCTGTCTGCCTCCGCTTCTTCGGCGTCGATGAGTGCCTCAGTTAGTTTCGGGTTGCTTTCAACTGCTTCTTGAAGTCGACTAATCTCCATGTTGGCTTTGTGAAGTTCTTCACGCAATTCTTCATTCACCTTGGCATTGTCTTCATCACCACCAGCATGAAATCGAGATCCGAGAAGTTCAGCAACTCGTGTTCTCAACTGGTTGGTGGACTCAATCAAAGCCATGTTCTCATCCATGAGTTCGTCCTTGACGCGCTCGATGGTGATCTCCCTGTCCTTGAATGCACTGAGTTCATCATGTTTGAACTGGCGGAACTCGTTCCTCTCATCAGTGAGTCGATTTGAAAACCACTCCCGGGTAGCACTCTCGTTCTCGTTGATTTTCATGAGGCTTCTGATCTCCACCTCGAGCTCGTTGTGCTTCCGGTTGTACTCTTCCTCTCTCTCCTGAATCATGTTCTTCATGTCACGAACCTTCAAGATATGATCACGGTTCGCATCATCCCTGGTAGCAATGAGGTTGTCCTTGTGCGATAAACTAGCAGTCAGTTCATCAATAGTTGATTGCATTTCTACCAGTTGTTCGTCACGTACTGCAACAGCTTGTTGGCCATATTCCATGATCATCTCATTGTTGTCAGCCATCACAAGTGATTGCTCTGATAGTTTCAGTTTCAATTGTTCCATTTCTTCCTTGATCACATTCTCCCTGTCTTGGACATACTGTGTACATGCTTCACGCAGTTGTAGCCCATCTTGACGAAAATGCATTGCCATAGCTTCAGATGTGTCATGTTGTTGACGAATGAGTTGTGATGCGTTCTCAAGTTCGTGAGATATCTCCCCCTCATCTCCATACTTTCCCGAACAATGTGTGCCGCACCTGCTTCAGCGAGATGACCACGCTTCTCCAGCTCGATGATTCTCATTGTTGAACCTTCGTCCAGTAGGTGCGCCTCAGCCAGTGCGATCGTTTGCTCTTCAAGTACATGGTGTGCATCGATGAGGGATACTCTCATGAATTCCAACTCGGAGTTGACATGTTGTTGATATTCTTCATGATGTTGATTTGTATAGATCTCCATGTTGTTAATCATCTGATCACGGTGTGCAAGAACATCTTGATAAAGACTTAGTCTGTTTTCCAGTTCAGTCCTTGCCCGTTCGCTCCTCTCCAGCTTCTCGGTGTTGTGTTGTAGTTGACGTCGAAGACGTGCCTCGCTCTCATTCCTCGTAGCGCTGGTCGATGGCTTGCGTTTGGATGAGGTGGTAGATTTACCTGCCTCATCCTCCCGCGTGGCCGCGCCCGACGGGCTTCGGCCACCGCCGTCTTCTGCGATGCGAGATCTTGCAGCGCGAGGTGATCTTGCCGATGTTGCTCTTCTGGCACTTCCTCCTCGAACTACGTCAGCTTGATTGACCACTGTGAAGCTGCTTGTTGATGCTATGCTTCCTGCAGCACGGTAGGACATCGTGCCGCCGCCGCCGCTTTCTTGGGATTCAGGCGTGTCATTGATTGCCTGGGCCGGAGCAGCATTCGCTCCGAAGGAAAAGCTTGTGTCGTTGCTGCTCGACTGGTTCTTCTGCGACATCTTCTTGTTGTCAGTCCACCTCCGTTTGCTCCAAGATTACGTCTTGTAGTAGGGCAGGAGGACCAGGATGCCGAAGGGGTTGAGGATAATGTGGGACCACCGTACGCCCAGTGATGAGCGTATACGGCTGATAACCTGTGAATCACCTCGACCTGGTCGATGTACGTGTAGCCCTTATTGGATTAGCTGAAGTCCTCAACGTTGAAATGCGGCAGCGCACATGTTCCTTTTCTCTGCGGCGAGCGGCGTCTTGAGCCAGCCGGCGGGGTGAGCGATGCTGGACAAAAGGATCTTACAGACTGTTCATTCTGATCTGCACTACAATCACAATATATATATATAGTAATATATAATAATATATATATATATATATTATAATCCCACAAACTGCTACCCATCCAACGTGACATGATCCAAGGTGCAAGAAGTGAATCCAGGCAAAGGCCAAGTAGGGTGCAGCTGTCCTCCCGTCACCGGCTTCCATTGACCATGACATAGGATTTCTATAGCTATTACCCTCTGGTGAACTAACATAGCTATTGACAATGGCCATTTATAGTGGATTTTCCCATTAAGAATGGTGATTTTCCATTGCTATGTTAGTTCACCAGAGGGTAAATGCTATTAATATCTATGAATGGACCATGCCTGATGAATAGTCAATGGTCTATAGCTATTATATGCTATTATTATTATTATTAATGGATCTTTCATGATCAATAGTCAATGGTCAATATATCTCAATATCTTAAATTGTTTTTTAGCTTCTCAGAATCTCAGAACGAATAGCTTGAAATGGGGCTACATATGGATAGAATGTACCTTGTGTCATTCTTAAAAACAAAAATGTATTCTGGTTTGTGGTTTTAATCCATCCCAATAACATTAGTCATGCCACGTAGGGAGGAAACAAAGGACTGTTTGACCACCCAACAACTAGTTTAATCGTAGCTATCCTTATCTTTCCTCCAGTCATCCAGCACAGCCTGGTATGGTTCTTGAACTTGGGCGGCAGGTTCTGTGCTAACTCCTGACACATCTTCACAGCTTTGCAAAGCTTCGGAACGCAAAAATGCTGTTGAACGGAACTGCGTTCAAGATGGAACAACAACATACAACAACTATGATTGACACCCAGAATGGATGAATCAAGACGGAACCATCCTGAATTTGTCACAGGAATGCCAACATGTAGAGGTGAACATCCTTCAAGAAAGCCTTGCGTAGCTGAAATGAAGTATGATACTCCGTCTCATGATGACCAATGGTGTCTTACTCAAAACTACCAACACTGGGGGTCCTGAACGAGAACAAACAGGAACACAACCAAAAAACATGCGAACATCAATGACATCATCATCAACTAAACCTGACCCCCGTACATACTCTGTTCTACTGCGTAGCAGAATCATTTCCCTCACCCGGTGGTACCAATGGTGCAGCGATTCCGAACGATTCAACCACGGGTTGACTTGTCTGGCCGATCCCCATCCAACAACGATGTTGAGTTTCTCGGAAAATAACGAGTTCAAAAACTATTGATGCCTGTAGTTCATCATGTTTATCTGGTTGGTGGTATACCTACCCCTCTGAAAAATATGAAAGTCAGGTGGGGTTACTATTCCCAATATATGGAAAAATAAAAAATCTTCCAAACCACCAACCAGTTATAGCATGTTATAACATTTAATAACACTGTTTGTCATCCCTCAATTGCCAAAAGTTGGGGTATGCCCCATTTGATAACCCTATATCCAGTGAGAATTCCTGAAAATCCCATTCGTTCATACTGATATCGGGTGATACCTCCCATAAACATCCAATCAAGTTCCACTAAATCCCATTTTTTATCATATTTTTTCATACACAAAAAAGATATCCCAGAATATCCCAGACACATCCTACACAGTTCCATTAAAATATCTTAAAAGGACCCATAAACGACCGCTTAAAACGGACCGCGTTGAGCGCCTCAATGCTGGTGGAGACTCGCTGCAATTCAGCCTCTGAGGCCTCAGTTTGTTAAAGAGTTGCTGAAGGAAATTTCCCCAGACCGGGAGAGGAAGTCAAAGGAATTGCCAGTTTCAGGTCATTTCAGTATATATATAATATAATATAATATAACTATAATTATAATTATATATATATATATATACATATACACACTATGATTACATCAGGCTAAAGATGGCTGACCTTCGTAATATTAACCTGATTAGTCCTGTAGCTTGCGATCCAAAATGACCAACATGTCCACGCGGGTCTGGTCATCCACGTCACTGCACGTTTGAGGACATCTGCAAAACTTCTCATTCCCATCTGGTCACTTCATCCTCATGACTCATGAAACAGATGTTTCAAGCGTCCCTTATCACCAAATGCCAGTGGAGAAGTTTTTTTTGACCAATCTGGATGCTGTTTCGCACTGGGTTGCTGTAAAACACTGCACGTGTTGCTCATGCACGGACAAATAATATTTACATAATGGAAAAATTGCCAATCAAGCTCGGTTGAGCGTTGACAGCTTCACACTATCTTCACACTTAAAGACGGTCAATGCACTTCAGATCCTCCATGCACTTCACCAGGCGCTCAGCCATAAACTCTTCACCACTGCGGAGAGACATACGAGGATCATAGTACTTCTTGTTGGGCTTCTCGGCTCCCTCAGGATTTCCGATCTGGGCCTGCAAGTAGTCCTTGTTCTTCTTCTGGTACTCGTTCATGCCATCCCAGAAGGCCCACTGAGTGTCAGTGTCAATGTTCATCTTCACAACTCCGGCCTCAATGGCGTAACGGATATCCTCCAGGGAGGAACCAGAGCCACCATGGAAGACGAAAGACACTGGCTTGTCGCTCTCGCATCCCAACTTCTCCTTGATGTATTCTTGGGTGTTGTGCAGGATCACTGGCTTCAGGCTCACGTTGCCAGGGGCATAGACTCCGTGCACGTTGCCGAAAGCAGCGGCCACGGTGAAGTTGCCATTGGGCACGGAAGAAAGCTCTTCATAGACCTGCCAAACCTCCTCAGGCTGTGTGTACAAACGAGAGGAGTCCACATCGGTGTTGTCCACACCATCCTCCTCACCACCAGTCACACCAAGCTCCATCTCCAACAAAAGGTTGATCTTGGCCATGCGCTCCAAGTACTTCTTGCAAATGGAGATGTTGTCCTCCAAAGATTCCTCTGACAGGTCCAACATGTGGGAAGAGAAGAGAGGCTCACCGTTCTTCTCAAAGTACTCCTCGCTGGCCTCAATGAGGCCATCGAACCATGGCAACCAAGACTTCTGGCAGTGGTCGGTGTGAAGGATCACCGGCACACCGTAGAGCTTGGCCACTTGGCGCACATGAAGTGCTCCAGCCACGGTGCCTGCAATGCAGGCAGCATCATCGGTGTTGTCAGCGGCCTTGCCCGCCAAGAACTGACCACCACCACGAGAGAAGGTGACCATCACAGGGCCGCCAGCCTTCTTGGCTGCTTCCATGCAAGCATTCACTGAGCTGGAGCTCACAACGTTGACGCCAGGGATGGCGAACTCGTTCTCCTTTGCGTAGTTGAGCAAGTCAACCAAGGCCTGGCCAGTCACAACTCCTGGCTTCACGGAAGCAGGCATCTTGGTGAAGACCTTCTCTGCCACGGCAGTGGCCTGGCGCACCACCTGGGAACGGCGTGCTGTGCGCTTTCCGACCTGTGCGGCCGACGCAACTGCCACACCGGCAACACCCAGGGTCAAAGCACCTGCAGCAGCAGAGGACGACTCTGTGGCCGCTGGCTGCTGACGCAAGTTGCGCACCTGTTGCTGGTTCACCTGTGGGCCCACGGAAGGGGCCAAGAATGCCTGGGCAGCCGCATAGGCACCGACACCGGCAATTGCCACGGAGCAAGCTTTGGAAGGCATGATGCACAGAGGCGAACTTCTAACCCAGACTGGATGCTTTTGAGCACAAAATTTCTTGCATTTCCACAGCTCACTGCTTGCTCTTGGAATTCGTGGAAAGAACAAAGACCTTGGGCATCACTTTGGCAAACTTTGGCTTTCCCAACTACATGAGGGATACTAACTCAGTCATGGACATAAAAGAATCCCACTACAAAACAACCCGCAAGCTGAGGTTATGATGTAGAAACGCTTGATGTCCGATTGCGTGGGGCACCAAAGCAACTGGCTTCCCGGGCCCCAAAACTAGATTGAGCGCCCCTTTGGGATGTTTGATAAGCTTGGACCATGGCAGAATTCAGAATCTACTTTCTATACTTCTATAGACCACAATATGCTTTCTGAAATGGGAAGGGCCAACACCATGACGAGGAGTGACCATCAGCTGTTGGACAGCTTGGCAGCCCTCGAAACACGACTGCCAAAGAGGCGCCGGGGATCCGAGCCCAGCCCTTCAAAGTGTTTTTCTCGGGTTTCTTCTTGTCATTCTTTGCCGCTTTGGCCTTGAGGACGAAAAAACTTCGCGATGGATCCCCACTGGGGTCGCTCGGTGATTTCCAACCCCCAAGCACTATACATGACTACATGATACTATGTGAATATGTGCATAAATATGGAAGTAGACAACCCAACTAACCCAATGGCCAGTGCTTCTAAAATCGTCCCAAGTGGCCATGAGTCCCAGCGGCGCGTGTCGGGTCGTGTCCCTCTTGGCCAATCCCCGACTTTTTCATGGCAGCGGCCAGGATGACAAGGTGTGGGGGGTTGGGGGACGTCACAAAACATACCAAACTCAACGAAAAAACATCGCTGGTTGAGAGTTGAAACCTCCGTGATATAGTCATTGGGGATCATCCCAAGCTATTCCAGTCGTATGGTTGAAGATAAAAAACCATGAAACCACCAACCAGATCAAAGGTGTGGAGCATCCCAACCCACCACCGGACCAGGACCGTGGGACCATGGAGCGCGGGTTTACACCATCCATATGGGGATGGGTCAACACCATCCCATCGATATAAATTGGCCCAACAATTGATGCTACAGATTGTACCTATGGAAGACATGTGTCATGTCACTTTGATTCGGTTTATTAAAGTTCAAATGCTCGCAAAGGCTATCAAAGTTCATAACATAGCCATCTTAGCTCACTGGAGACCACTCTCTCTGCCTTTTCGTAATTTCTTCAAGCAGCAGAGTCGAAGATTGCGCAGCATCTGCAACGCAAGAGCTACGCTACAAATCATGATTAAAACCTGCGCCTCTGAAAATTGCGTTGCACATGAGTGAAGACAGCAAAGGAACGAGGAACCGATCAATTCTGATTGTGGCTATTTGGTGCTAGGTCTGCCGGTAGAATTGTTCCTGGATCATCACGCGCGTTTTTTTGGGTTCAAAACATGATAGGGATCGCATTTCTACCTGCCCAGGGGTATGGCAGTACAACATCATTGATGCCATGAACATTCAAAAACTTTATGCAACAAGTTTGTTGAAAAATAGGTACCTGTGAATCCATTGGTGTGAGTCATTATTTTCCGATAAAAAAAACCGTATAAAAGGGCAATCTTGAGGGCATACCCAATCATCAAACACACCTACATCAGTGGACTTTATCACTCCATGTGCAAAAACCCGACCTACTCCGACTGGCTAAGTCCGACAGGAAAGGCAGCGGGGCAGTTCAGACAAACAATGGCGGACTATGAGATAATAACATGTGAATCATGTTAACATGACATGCCCAGAGTGATAAGGCTATCAGGCTGTATCAGGTAATCTGGTAATTGGCATGGGTCAAGACCGAATCACCCCAATTTTATAGACTTGTTCTCCTCCCCAAAAGGACCATTCCATTCAGTTTTGGGATGTGAACATATGTGAACAACGCAGTAGGTTTTGATTCCAACAAGTCGCAGTCAGTCATTTTCACGTTGCTCTGAACTTGCCCTGCCAATTGAACCCCAGCTGGTTGGCTTGCCGTTGGCTGTTGTGATGCAACCAAGTCTTGGCGGCACCCAACACAGATATGATATACGCTTGATACAACCCCTGAGCATCTTCCATAAATCTGGATGGAACATCATTCGTAGGTTCCGCTTAAAGTCGTCTGGTTGGTGGTATACCTACCCCTCTGAAACATATGAAAGTCAATTGGGATGATGAAATTCCCAATATATGGAAAAATGTTCCAAAGCACCAACCAGTTGTGGATGTGTCATCCTCCTTCTTATCGCTGTTTCGGCGCACTCGCTAATGCTTCTCGCACGTCCATGTCGACCTCTGCATCAACCCCCACGGTAGACGTTGTGTAGGGAACGGGGGAGACCCTAAAACCATCTAAAACCAGCCCCAAAAAAAATCCCAAACCATCCAGAGCCATCTAAAACCACCTGAAATCATCTTGAAACCATCTAAAACCATCTTAAAGTACCTAAATAGTCATGAAAACCATCAACATAGTCAGTTTCTTTAGAAAGGACACCATAGGACACCCATGGTTTACAGGCCCTCCCCAATTTCATAGACCTAACCATCTCCTGTGAGAGCTACCATGACATGTCTGGCCAACCCCCCAGGCTACCTTCAGATCGTGAGGTTGGCAAAACGCCGATTCGTTCCTAGTCCCAGCGTGAGAAATTCAGAATCTATCAGCCAGAACTTGCCATAATTTGCCCTCAAATCTCTTAGCCATTTTTGGATTTGGCCCCACCCATTTTGCCAGTGCCAAGGAGTCACGTACTCATCGAAGGGACTTTGCATTGGAACCAAGGCAGGGTCCGCCTTGTACGTCAGCAACAGCTTCACCACCTGACGTACGACACGTCATCAACACATGGGGAACATCTGAACTTCCATCGAAACGGGCCTTGAAAATCATTTCAATGGAAAAAACCATGGGAAAATCATCTACCCTCTGGTAATTTAACATAGCTATGGAAAATCACAATCTTTAATGGGTAAATCCACTATAAATGGCAATTTTCAACAGCTATGTTAGTTTACCACAGGGTATAAATGCAGGATTTTCCAGCAAAACATGTTTCATTGAGGGTGACTGGTTGGATCCAGCATTGGCTGGTTGTAAGTCAGCCATCTTTGGGAAATCCCAGGTGTTTACATCATGACTGGGCACCCAGTCGGCAGGGTTTCTGACGTGTATTTCATGTTGGTGGAAGGGAGGGCTGAACATGGCTGAACCGTGAGAAAGGACGACCCGTCAACACATCCGAACATGATTGGTACGTTCAAACGTGGAAGCTAGCGCTTTGATGTAACACAATCTATCAGATCTATCATCTATCAGTACAATCATCTCTCGACATTCTGGCTGACTAAAAATTGAACGTGGGACAGTCCGTAAACATAACACAACCATTAAAAATACCTCTATCCCATCCCATCATACTGGCTAAAAGTATTACATAGGTATCCCTATGAAATCCTATGAAATGGGTTTCAATATGTTCATGAAATCCCTATGAAATGGTTTATCCTATGAAATCCCTATGAAATCCCCACATGTTTTCCCCATCTCTTCACTACTCCCGCCTGCAGTGGAGCAACATCTGCGCGCACGGCGCACAGTAACGGCGAGGTGCCGTCCGCAGACACGGCGTTGGCGGACGCCCGGGCCTGGCCCCAAGGTTCGGCGTGGAACCACTGGGCTGCGGTTGATAAAAAAGCCCCGGCTGGGTAGCTAAGTTGGTACAAATAACTACTTAGATGGGCCATGGGATTAGCGATTCATGGTTAGTAACTGGGGATTTGTTACCCCCTATATCCCAATTATAATCCATTTACTAACTAGTTAACTAACTCCATGGCCCATCTAACTATAGGTTTTATGGTAGAGATTGGCAGAGTAGATATAAGATGATATAAGTTTATCTATGTTTATCTTAAATGCCTGAACATGGATGAGCATCCCCCGAAATGGGCAGAGAATCCAAGTTTTCACCATGGCACATATGACCTGGAACACATTGACAATCATTATTCACGGGATTTAGTTGGTGATAAGCCAACTGTGTAGTCTCGTATACCATATCCAAAAGCTAGACTATACCCATCTATACCCCGTTTTTCCATCTCTTGCCAGTTAATCCATGTTAATCCTCCGAGGCCATGCCCGCCTCCAGCAACAATCGGCAATCGTCACAGTTGCCGCGTTGCGCGGACCACATCAAGGCATTCCATCCGTCAGGACTACGGGCCTACCATGACTTGGGATGGATTACCACCCATCAAAATGGTGATGACTTGGGGATGGTTCAAGGCTTTGGGTGAACCCCATGGTTTACCACATAAGCTTCATCTGATTGCATTCGATTAAGATGATTAAGCTTTATCCAGTACCAGTGGTTGTTTATAAACCAATCAGGTTGTTTATCTTTAGGGACATGGTTCTTTTCCTATCTGGACTCCTGGACCTTTGGGAATCGTAGTTCAATCGATGGTTCTTCTGATGGTTCAACCCGGTTCAAGGGTCCACATTGGGCAATGAACCTTCCAAAAAATAGCTCGGTTTGTTCATCCTCCTTCAATCACAACTCTGAACCCAACCAACAGTAGAAAATCCCAGGTTATAACAGCTATGATCAATACAATTCTGACATTGCCATGCGTTTCTGCTATACTTTCCGTTGTTCCGGCCTCCGGCTGCGCGCGTTGCTGCAGCAGCGCCCGCAGCAGCTGCTGACTTCGCGCCTTGGGGCGACTGCAAGCCGCCACAACAAGCGCTGGGCGTCCGGCATCAGGACGCCACAGGTCCTCTGACCTGGCTGTCAGGAAGGAACTTTCAGAGAGTTTTTTTCGGGATTTTGACTGGGATTTCATAGGGAGACAACTATTCATGGGAAAACAATCGTGTTTTTTTTCCGGGAGACAACTCAAATTGAACCACTGACGATTTTTTTCGGATTTTCAATGATGTTCATGGGTTTTAAGGAACAAATCCTTGAAATAATTATATAGCAAACTTGGGGTTTTATGTGATTTTATTGGTTCTACTATTAACTAAGGAAAATCAATTAACATGATTGGGAACCGTGGGATTTTATGGGTCTAAATAGGAACCATGATTATTCAGTGGATTTTGGCATATCTAATTTTTGGATAACCCCAGTGTCATCTTCAAAAGGTTGACGAAGTCCAAATCTAGGACCCATGGATCTGCAGAAGTTGGTCATTTTAGTCAACTGCATACAGAATCTCGACATTTTTTGGCATATTAATCATATGAGTATATACAAATATAAGGGATTACAATTTTTTCTGGGGGTTCTGTACTGTTCTGTATTTTACGGGTAAACCCCAGACATCTGCGGGGAGTCTTAAACTTGGATCCATACCTACATGGAAAGTCCATAAAGGTCCTGCAAACAAACGTGACAAAGGAAAATCCATGAACATACCACGCGGATTTATCGCATTGATCCTCTATATATATATAATTATATATATTATATTATAAATACGTATGCATATATATATATATATGTATATATGTATATATATATAGCAACCATGTAGCCACTCCTAAACAGATACAAAATAAGACAACAACTCCTACTATATATAATATATCTATAACTCACTTTTCCAGCCTTTGTTGGGAGTCAGTCTCCGAAACAGCTGGGGGTTGCGTTCCATGGCTGGTGCCTCCCAGCCAGCGTCGCCACAGCCACCGCCCGGCGCATGGTTCGCTCCACATCGTTCTGTTCTTCGGATGTCAACTTGGCCAAGCACAGCTCGCCACTCCAGTCCTTCACCCGGTCGGTGGGATTTTTTGTTAAAGAAAATGGGGATATCATGGGGAGATTCAATGGGGAATACTATGGGATATGTACTGGGTATACGGTATACGGTGTATATATATATATATATAGGGATTTATATGTATATATTATGGGGATATGATCAGCAAATCAATATGATTTGGGTTTTGCTACCTGAACATGATCGAAAAAATCCACCCATCATGGTTTAAAACCTCATTTTCCTTGTTGAAATGACCATATCTTGGTGATTAATCTAGAGGAGATTTTCTTTGTGTTGACACATTGACGGGCCAGTTTCGCTTGGCCCTAGTCTTGCTGTCACAGTATCCCCTTCTCTTGACGACATACAGTTCCTCCGTTTTGGTTACATCATGTCGGTTACAGCACATTCGTTTAGGGCACTCGATTGCTGATGAAAATCCCTACTTTCATGGATGAAAACCCAATGCATGCTCACTGCAATCGTGCTATGCAATTCTTTGGCTGGCTAGATCATGCCGTTTTTCTTCGTTCGAACCATGTATCTTCGTATTTTTTTTCCGATGATCCATCCTTAATTTTTGCTGCTTCGATCTCCATTTTGGATGGTTATATATGTGTATGTATATATATATACATATTACTGTATATACATATATATATATATATGTATCTGTATAGATAGATAGATAGATAGATAGATAGATAGATAGATAGAGAGATAGAGAGATAGAGAGATAGATAGATAGATTAGATTAGATTAGATTAGATTAGACTAGACTAGATTAGATTAGATTAGATAAGATAGATAGATAGTTAGTTAGATAGATAGTTAGATAGGTAGATAGATAGATAGATAGATAGATAGATAGATACATAAATAGATAGATAGATAGATAGATAGATAGATAGAGAGATAGAGAGATAGAGAGATAGAGAGATAGATAGATAGATTAGATTAGATTAGATTAGATTAGATTAGATAGATAGATCACGATTTTGGTTGGTTTAGATCGCCAAGATTGCTTAACATTGCTGAACAACAAATCCATACAAATCCAACTTCACGAATGAGTTGGTTTCCACTTCCGTAGATGAATTTCCATTTGAACTGCATGTCTTTAATTTTTTGTCCTGGCTGAAGTATACTAATTCACCAACCTAAACTAAGGCCCAAGGGTGATCTTTTAGAGGGTTCCCCTTACGAACCACCAGCTATGATGAGGTCGCGGTGAGCGCGTAGAACTCCTCCGCATTTTGATGGGGGTTTTCCAATTTCCTATCGGTCGACGACCCTGCTTCCACATGGCATGGTGTATTTGGCCATTGCCTATGAGTGGTGGTATAACCATCCCCAATATGGATAGTTATGAGCCAGCAGCCAACTCTTTACCAATGGCACATATAGGTGGTTTGAAATATGCTTATGTTCAACCATATTTGGGATGATGATTCCCCATGACGAGCACCTTTTTCAGAGTTGAAACCATCAAGCAGGAAAATATAGTGAATCATGCCGAGGAACAAATTGATGATTTGTCGAATCTACCCAGATGAATGATAATGTATGAAACCAACCAGCATGTTAGAATTGTTGGATATATATATATATGTCCAATCCATTCGAGACATTTCAAACCATCCCAAACACTTGTCATTTCAGTAGGGAACATGATGATAAAACACTAGTTGGAATGGGGTTTTCCCATAATTCTGAGGTACCAAACCTATATATTTTCATAGCTGGTGGATACATGCTAGAATCGTGTGAAATATGTTCAATCCATATTTCAAACCATCCCAGATACTCTTGATACATTTTCATACATGTTCGGGGTGACCTCTTTCAAATTCTCCAGTGCTAAACGAGCCATGAAGCATACCCTTATCCCATCTCATTCTACTGGTCGGTTGATACGTTTCCCTCCCAGTGCTGGGTTAGTTCATAATCCCCACCAGGTGTAGTACAACTCCGATAACCAATCAACAATCACTTATCAACTTTACCCCATATGTTCAATCATTTCACCTTCATGAAACCACTAAAATTTATCATTCATGGTTAAGTCACCAAGAATGTGGTAAACAATCGCCAAGTCATCTCCATTTTCATGGGTAATTTTTGAACCATCCCCAGGTTGACATGAACCAATCCATAAAGGTCGTCCAATGCTCCTAACCATGGTTTAGTAGGAAACATCATCGGGATTATTTAGGGGGTGTTTGATGTACTTTACTATGAGGGGGATGGTATCATTAATTTTGATTAAATCACTCCTAAATCATTCTATCCCCAAATCACCAATATAGAGGTGTCCTAATACCTATGAATCTCCCACATTACCGTCATTCACGGTATATTAACCACTAATATTAACCATATATTTACCAGACATTAACTATATTATGTAACCATATCTTAACCATATCCCAGGTTTTTTTAAGCCATATAATGGTTATAACATGTTATAACCATATAATATATGGTTAACCAATGCCCCATATATATATATTATATTATAGATAGATAGATAGATAGATAGATAGATAGTTAGATAGATAGATAGATAGATAGAGAGATAGAGAGATAGAGAGATAGAGAGATAGATAGATAGATAGATTAGATTAGATTAGACTAGATTAGATTAGATAAGATAGATAGATAGATAGTTAGTTAGATAGATAGATAGTTAGATAGGTAGATAGATAGATAGATAGATAGATAGAGAGATAGTTAGATAGATAGTTAGATAGATAGATAGATAGATAGATAGTTAGATAGATAGATAGATAGTTAGATAGATAGATAGTTAGATAGATAGATAGTTAGATAGATGGATAAATATTGACCCCTCAAAAAAGGGTCTCCAGGTGTCAGATCCCACCTGGAAGAGTTGCCGCAGCTCCAGGCGTCCCAGCTGTGCGCCGCGGCAGAGGCATTGCAGGCGACAGCTCTCCGGACCCAGGGCGTCCAGCAGAAGACCTGGGGGGGGTAAGGAAATGGGAAGCTTCGATGAGTACATATAGAATACATATAATAATAAATATTATACAATAATATATATTATGTTATATATATATACTATATTATATATATATTGTGTTATATATATATATCATATATATGATATATATATAACACAATATATATATATATTATATTATATATATATTGTTATATATATATCATATATATATTATATTATATATATATTATTATATATATAATGTTATATATAATATAATATAATACAATACAATATAATATAATACAATATAATATAATATACTACAATATAATATAATACAATAGTATAATTAAATATAATATAACAAATTATAATATAATATAATATAATATAATATGATATGATATGATATGAAATGATATGATATGAATTAAAAAATAATATAATATAATATAAAACAAAATAAACATAATAAGAATAATAATGATAATAATAAACATAATATACATACATGCATGTATATAATTATACTAATTAGGAAATACTTGGATTTGTCATATTCGTCATATATTTTCAGAGTTGGGCTTGACATTTAAATGTTCAGAGTTAGTTTCAGCCTTTCAAGCGGCCAAACTGCAGATGTTTGGCTAGCAAGAAATCATACGGCATACGGACTCCATACACATTCCCTATCTTTTTCGGTAGGGATCTGTCAACTTCCCTAGCCCAGCGGCTCAGCACAGCCACCAACGTGGCTTCTTCCCAGGTGGAAACTTCCAGAGACTCCTCCACATTTCCGAGCACGGAGTGAAAATGAGGAATTTACCATCAATTCATATCAATTCATATGGTCATTTTCAATGATGGAATATGCATGAACATGATTGAACATGCTACGAATCCAACTCTAATCCATTGGTATCTTTGTTGTTCCTTCCGGACCGCTGTCGGCGCGCACGGGGGACAGCGTAAAACTGCTTGTCAGGGCGTGTTTATGTTCATTTCGCTTACTGTAGCCAGTGTTTCGTGATGGTACGTTGAAGTTGTGCCCGTCAGTTAGAAGTTGTGCCCGTCAGTTAGAAGTTGTGCCCGTCAGTTAGAAGTTGTGCCCGTCAGTTAGAAGTTGTGCCCGCATGACATGTTATATTTTTGGGGTGGGGAACAGGGGGTGGGGGGGGGTGTGGGGGGGTGTGGGGGGGGGCACACTCACGCACGCGTGATGTTACGCAGTAAGATCTTCTCCGGCACATGCACACACGCGTGATGTTACGTAGTAAGATCTTCTCCGGCACATGCACACACGCGTGATGTTACGTAGTAAGATCTTCTCCGGCACATGCACACACGCGTGATGTTACGGTATAAGAAATTTTCTTAATGAATTTGGTCATGGGGTTTGACTCGACTTGTTTTTATGCTGCTGCCCTTTTGTGTTGGCCTTGCGGAGTAGCAACAAGAAGAGAGATGCGAAAACATATCAAACTTTCCAATATATTGCTAATGTTGAATGATAGAAAATCGTGATGACCACCATAAACTTATCAGTTGAAATCTTTACGTCCATGTGCCATCCGTTGTTTTTGTCCAGATATGAAAAAGTTAGCATGTCGGCGAGAAGATGTCTGTGCCACTGCATTCCAAAAATCGAGACGCTGAAAAATCGAGAAGATATGAATGAAAAGTTACCATGTCGGCGCGCGCCCACGAAGGACCGAAACGTTGTTTGAAACCCATTATCACGTACCAAACCCAACTGCTTAGGACTTTTCAAATACTTATTTTTTGTCGGTTTGCTTTGGGGTTTGCACTGACTGGTTTGTCCGGGCATGGGACCGTATTCCTTCGGGCCGATCTCAAGCAATCAGTATGATCAATTCGATGAGTTTCGGAGATATCATCATTAACAGTTGATATTACCCTCCGGTAAACTAACATAGCTATTGAAAATGGCCATTTATAGTGGAATTTTCCATGAAACATTGTGATTTTCCATAGTTATGTTAGTTTACCAGAGGGTAGTTGGTGCTATGATATTACCATCATTAAGAGCACCGACTGATATCACCATATATCACCAACCAAATCGGTTGGTGCTTTCAGCAGCCTCCAAAAATGATCCACATCATACAATAGTGAGGGATCATCATCCCCGATAATTACAGCTGACTGTAGGAGGAACATCACACATCATTTCTGTGGATAAAAGGTGAATTCTTATAGGTCGTACATGGTCGTACCTCGACCCTGAAGATTAGGGGGGCTATCAGCAAACCAACTTAAACCAACCAATCATTTCCACTGTCAAACTTATCACGCCAAACCAATAAACCAACTAAGCCGACATGGTTTCATAATGTTTCATATCACTATTAATAGTATTGCATAATCTTCCTAGATCTTTCAAGGATTGCTATCATTTGTGACATGTTTTTGCCCAAAGCCCTGAGGTCATTCGAATTCATCTGACCTCACTCCGTTGATCTCCGTTTAAAATTTACCAATGATATCCAATGATATCAATGATACCCCCAATCTACATCATTCTACCATGATATCCCCATTGTTTTACCATGATTCCCAGGTCCCGATGATAAGCTCACCTCTTTGGCGCTTCGCGGAAGGCTTCGCCCAAGGAGCCCACGGCGCCGAAGGGCCAGGCTGAGCGCGAGCAGCGCGCCCAAGGAGCCCACGGCCAGCAGGCGATCCATGGAGGACACACCCCCAATCTGAAAAAATATGGATTTTCAAGGGACAATTTACCCGCTGGTAATTTAACATAGCTATTGAAAATGGCCATTTATAGTGGATTTTCCATGATTTTCCCACTAAAAATGGTGATTTTCCATAGTTATGTTAGTTTACCAGAGGGTATCATAGAAAAATATGGAAAATAATCAAAGACCTAACCAACACTCATAAAAAAAATCATCAAATACCTAACCAACATTCATAAACCTTCTTGAGAAGGATGTTGGCAGTTGATGCTCAAGACTTTTCCGGCAGCTGCACATTCGAGAGGTAGTAGGTACCGTCTGCTGAGAAAACCATGTCGCAATGCTTTGCCATGTCGCCAATGCTGCTCTTACTATTATTCTGCCATGCTTATACTCATCCTCTTTGAGCCTTAGGCAGCAATGATCAATGGATCGCCATGACATGTGCACGTTACACTGCTGTTGGGCCTGGCTGTTCACAGAAATCCAAGGATGAAATCCAATCAAGTCAATCACAGGGTCAGCCCCAACTATTCAGTTAATACAGTATACGTATAATTACATGTAAATATATAATAAGCCTGTAGGATCCTACAGGATCACAAGGGAGAATACCCAAGAAGGACTGTTGCCAACATTTGCCAACTGACGTGTCTTAGCCTCTCAATGCCTCTCACCCAACTACTGTCATCGCAATTCAATGGCTCTCTTCCCCAACAAAAAGACCACGACATCCGTCAAGAAATCGCATCCATCACCGTGCGCCCCATTTGGGCACTTTTCCCAGCAATCACCAGCGACTTCGGGGGGAAAATGGCGGGGAACCCATGGCAACCGACACAACAAACTGGATGATTTTGGATCATCAACCTGTTCTTCGCACATGGCACACTCAAACCTCAAAGGTCTCAACATAGCATCCTGAAGGGAATATATACCCTCTGGTTATGACTAACATAGCCATGGTATATAGATGGTCCATAGAAATAGATGGTTTACCGTTCTTAAAAATGGTGATTTTCCATGGCTATGTTTAATAACCAGAGGGTATATATAACACCCAGCTGATGAAGTGGCACTACATGACTTAGAAAACCCGCACATTTGGTATCATCGAGGGATTCCAAACGTACAATGATTCCAGCAAAAGTATGTATATATATAAAGTACGATGAAGTATCTCATGGAGCATCTATACCAACATGGATCCATTCAACGACAGTAGTCTTCTATCATCTTCCATTCTCTCTTACCACCGGGGGACGTATCAGACCATTCAGACCAACCATTCAGACCATTTGTCATGCGCTGGTGCTGCAAGCATCCTCTACAACCTCATGGCCCGACCCACTCACTTCGGACCTTGGGGATCTAAGGTTCCGGTAGCAAGGCTGGTGCTGATGAATGTTCACCGCGTGTTTAGCATGCGGAAATCATCAACACTTATTAATGACAACAACAAGAATAGCAATAATAACAATCATCATAACAACAATAATTACAATAACAGATCCATAATTGATAATAACAATGATACATAAATGCATAGAACATCATAGAACCCATCACTCACTGAATCTGGAATCTTAGTAACTGATTTTCATCCATCCCGACACGGGACAAGAACCCAATGACATCGAGCTCCCGGACCATTCGCACCGAGGTCGCAATCGCCGGGCGTGGACACGCGGCTTCCCGAGGGTACCAATAAAAGTGGTCACAACCCGAACACAAAAAGTGCTACGTCTTTTTTTGGGGCAGTTAAGCGACTGCGAGAAACGTTTGTTTGGATTTTTGTGACACATATGTGACTTTCCTGAGTTTTCTGGATTTCTGAAAGGATTGCTGCAATATGATGTTTCAGAATGTTTGACATGGCATCCCACACATGCAATTCTTGATAGGTTTCGGACCTTTCTCTCCAGCAACCCACATAAATCCGAGACGTGGCTTAGTCACTTAGTCCGAAAGGATGGTACCCCAACATCCAATGGATGACATCATTACTGTGCATATTATATATATATTTACGAAAACCATAGGAAAATGGTGATTTAACCACTATAAATGGTGATTTTATGATGGTTTAATGGTGATCTAATGGGATTTACCCTCTGGTAAATAAACTTGTTGACCCTGAAAACAATGAATTTCTACTTGAAACTAGTCTTCCAACCCCGATGACTGCCAGGGTCTATGTTAATTTACCAGAGGGTAATACACATGGATAATCATGATATAATCACTGTCCCTACTCAATTGGCGATTTTGATAATGACAACTTGCCTTGCCATGGGCTGACCACCTCAGGGTGACCCGAGGGGCGTGCGCAGCTATTCTGATTCCCAGCAGACATGCAAAAAGCTTCCAGCAAGGCCAGCACGCGTCGACATCAAAGAACGACTATGTGACTAAGATTGACTAAGCAAGCACAGATTTTAGGTTAATATGGGAATACATGGGGATACATGACATATCATGAAATGGCTATCTCGTTTATCTCCAAGCTTGGGGAAGGCATCAAATCATCTCCAGACTTTAAGATCCACTCAACCCATGTCGTCACAGCGTCTGAGGATGTACTTGAGCCTGACAGACCTCCCTCAAGGTCGATTTTCAGGTCGTAACGTCATGTTTATGTTCTTCTGGAGTAATCAGCAAGATCAGTATTGAAACAGCTCTATCAAACAAGTTCAAGATTATCATTATCATGTAACCCATGGACTTATGCACATTTTCACCCACTATGGTAACAATGTGTCACAATTATCAAGTTCTATCTATGACTCAGTACCAAACTCTGTAAGTCCTTGTGTCATATGTCTGTCGATTGCCTGCTGTGAAACTCCTGGAACCATTGGCCGGTCGCCTGTTGTGGAACGCCAACAGTTGTGCCGAGAAACCTACGGGCCTTTTTCTTGACGGCAGGAGCTTTGCCAGGTTTATTGATGTTTACTGTCCGAAAAAAACACACACTTAAAATGTTTGTGCGTTTTTTTTTGTGCAATCATCAACTTTTCTCTCAACTATTTCGAGTGCATCGTCTTTCGACATCTTTCGAGTGTCTTGAAACAGCATGATAGATCATATTGAAAACTTACATCATATGAACACATAACTTTTTCAAGACTTTAGCTGATGCAAGTCCGACTTTTGAATGGCATCGAATGGCCCCAGCCGTGCCCATCCTACTGGTGAAGTCCACCAATTCGATTTATTGTGCACCCGTCATAGCCCGGGCTTTGGGCAGTGCTTCCACTCGGCCCATCCGCGTGGGATGCACCGCCCGAGAACTTGTAGCCTATGGCTGCGATGTGATGCTTCTTTGCACTTAAGAAGCAAAAGAGAACCGTTCGTCACCCAGAACTGAGTTACAAAATTCGCACATCTCAATGACTTCCCACCTGGTTATTTAACATAGCCATGGAAAATCCCTCATAGATGGAGGTTTTAATGGGAAAATCATCTATAAATGGGCCATTTTCCATGGCTATGTTAAATAACCAGAGGGTATTGTTTTCTTGGGTAGCAAAATGCATCGCGCCAAGGCTACAGAAACTTTGGACTGCCAGCGCCTGTTTTGAACGCCTAGCATCATTTTCAGACATTTTCATCAGGGACTACGACCTTGTGGTAGTCCAAGAAAGCCTCAAAAAGCTGTTTTTATCGCCGAACAAAGATCAATGGTGGCCAAACCTAGATGCATCATCACCATAAACAAGAAGAAACTTGGGGATCTTGGGGAATTTTAGACACAATATGACACAATGCAAGGCACCACGCATTTTACAATCTTTCATGGCCGAAAACATGCGTTTGGCACCTACCCAAAGAGCCCGACTCGACCCGGTCTTGGCAGTGGGTTGACCACATCTCGCTGCATTGCCAAACTGAGCCCCGCGCGGCTTCATCTCATGCCACGGCCAGCCCCTGCGCTGGATGCCATATATAACACACATATAGATATATAGATATATAGATATGTATATGTCTACATAATTCTTCATGTATATGTCTATTGCCTCCTGTGGACTAAGTGACTAACACAACAATCATGTTCTTGGCTACTCACATTGTTGTGATCTGCCTATTTGCTCGAAACCATACAACAACTCCAAGACGAAGACCAAGACTGGATGTATTGCTTTTTCAGACTGACAGAGTTCACATCGCATCAAAATATGTCCTTTCTGTGTTTCTCTAAAAATTGGATGTCGGAATCCAACGTGGAAATTCCCCATTGACCCATCGATTTTGGCCCCCGTCTGGGGCCCCAATGGGGTCCCCCTCAACCGGAGATCTCCAGCGACCTGCTCCCCGTTTGCCCTTTTTCCTGGCGGCTCAGCGGCGATGATTGGTGACTCTGAGGTCCAGATCACCAAACCAGCGAGTAGATACAACTGCATCTACACGCCTTTATGATCCATAATGCCAATGATTTTCTTGTTATCTGGGTATTAATGAGTCCTGTTTTTGTTGCCATTAGTACTTATCACATTGTTCTTAGATTCTTTTATCTATCAACGAAAAAGGGCTCTGGGCATTGCTCAGTTGGGCAGGGGTCAAAACCAAGAGCAACCCACAGAGTTGGCTGGTTGGGGTGTAGCTTTCGTCAGGTCTGTTCCCTTCAAAGGTGCATATAATGGCAGTGTATATACAATTACTGTATATGTATAGAGTTCATGTACTCTTCTTGCCATCTATCGATCTGTCCGCTTGCCTTCTTAATCCTTCTTATCTAGTCTTGTCCTATCTACTCCCTACTGACCATTCCAATCCAATATATCCAATATGGTATACGCGCCATTGCGATGAAATCTCTTTCAGTTCTCTCTCGGTGTCCGGGATCCCCATCCCCATGGATAACAACCCCAACAGTTGGATACCAAAAAACATGTTGAAAAGTAAAACCGAATTCCAAGGTACAGAGGTAAGAGCATGTTCTGCATCCTTGTGGCTATTGTTATAGACAATAATCATTGCTTAAAAAGGCCATAGTAGTAAATGAGGATGAATCAATGCGTGACCATATTTGGGACACATCCATTTCCCAGCTGATGTTCACCAAGCTACCCGGGTACCGGAGGCCTTTGGTTTGAAGCCCCATTTCCCGGTAGTCCATCGCCTGGAACGGACCATCTACTGTCATATGATATACAGTAAATCCAAATCCTGACCATGGCTCATACGGACATTTCTCGGTTTTGAACTCGGAAAACTATGTGCAAATGCTGGGTAAACCCACATCTATGTTCATTTATTGCCGCGATTTTGGATAGCTAAAACAGCCAATCTGATGGGCCATCAGTGTAGTCACCCAGTGTAGTCACCCCACCATTGGATGGTGAAGTGTCAAAAAATCCAGGCACCATCTGTGGGTCCTTTTTTTGTCTATCTTCATGTGTCTGAACATGGGAAAATCATTCGAATTGGCAAACATATCAAAAATTGTATATATCATGATATATATCTCGTACTATTTCGTATATATCCCCACCAACTAACCATTTGAATTGCGAAAATCAGCTTCTAATCCATTGGAAGTGGCCGGGAAAACCCATCTCTGGCCCACTTTTGGGGCCAAGGCCCAGGCCTGGGATGTTGGCAGCACCTCAAAACACCAGCCATTTCCACCAGGCTTTCCATGGAGCTGTGAATATTTATAATGTATATAACTATGTATATACATATATATTTCTATAGATATTCATCAATGTATATATATATATATACATGTATATATATATATAAATACGGGTTTATTTGTGGGTTTATCTGAAAATTGGGTATATACCCAAATAGACATTTAAACAGGGAAAAATGATGATTAACCCATGGATTTAGGGATGCCATATTTTCAGACAAACCCATATACACACACATATATATATATATATATAAATATGTATACAAGGTAAGACCCCCTAGATAACTAAGTTGACTTATACATAGGCTAACTATGGTTTTATGGGAGATATAACTTATTCAATGGGGTCTATAGACAAACTTATAACTAGGGGCCTCACCTTGCAATATCTATATATATACACATCAGTATAATTCAGTATATCTATATTGATCAACATATATGTGGGGTGTATCAATGTATCAGGAAGACATTGAAAAACGTGGACGGCCGCAAATGAACACCGCCAAACTGGGTTGGGAGATTTTCAAATCTTCACATATCTTGACCCATACCCGCCTGGTATGACACTCCTTTTTGGCAGCTTTTGTTGCGATCAAACCATATCACGTCACAAATTAAAGTTAACAGATCATGCCCTTTGTAGCGCTCTGCCGTTCCGCAATCACTACCAAGAGCAGCAGCCCCGATGTCGATGTCACGGAAGCTTCAGATTCGATTGTCGCATGGTGTGCATGTGAAGTTGAATCAAGGTTTCGCATTTTTTTCAAAGTCAAGTTAACCCTCTTCAGAAGAGACCCGCTTGGGAATTTAGTATGGTAAATGTCGGACATGTCCCAATGACGTTCATGGGGAGTGTTTCCAATGTCATCGCAGGACGTCACTGGACTAGATGGACCTTCAGGCCGCCCTCTTGATTTTTCCCTGGAGAATCTGCGCCAGCATCCGAGAAATGAAGTAAAGCAGTTGGATGAAACACTGGAGTTTCTCGATTCGACGAAACAACCAAAAAAAAATGATAAGATGATCCTGCTAATTTGTTATTGAAACATTTTGCTTCGTTTGGTGCTTCAATCAAGACCAGTCGGGGTCAATTATCAGCAGGGATGAACAAAACTGCTTGATGGCTTCAATATCATCAGCCCTTTGTAGAGATGGAAACTCAACACCCAATATATCCCAATATATATATATATACGTATATATATATATATATACGTATATATATATATATATACATACATACACATATATGTATATATATATATGATATATGTATGTATGTATGTAATATATATATACAGATATAGATATAAAATGATATAGATATGTTGAAATAACCACACGAAACCAGAAACCAAATGTTGTTACTTCACCATGTCAACCATCCGACAGCTTCCGTGGATTCGTCCACGCGTTCGGGCCGCGTTCAGGGCCAAAAGTGCTGCAACGCCTCAACGATGCCGGCGGAGACCTGGCAACTGGAATGGGGAGCAAAGTCAGCGCAAATTGATGCAACATCTGATGGATATATATTATATATAATATGTAATATAATATAATATGTAACATAATATAATATAATAAAATATAATATAATATATAATATATAATATATAATAAATAATATATAATATATAAAATATAAAATATAAAATATAAAATATAATATATAATATATAATATATGAAATATAAAATATGATATATAATAAATAATATATAATATATATAATATATACAATATATATAAAATATATACTATATATAATAAATATAATATATATAATATATATAATATATACAATATATATAATATATATAAAATAAATAATATATAATATATATAATATATATAATATATAATATATATAATATATATAATAAATATAATAAATATAATAAATAGTATATATATATTGTATATATTGTAAATATTATAAATATTATATATATTATATATTATATATTATATTAAATATTATATATAATATATATAACATATATAACATATATATAATATGTATATATATATATAATATACAAATATATAATATGTATGTTATGGTATAGTATAGTATGGTATGGTATGGCATGGGATGGTATGGTATGGTATGTATGCATGTATATGGATATACAACATATATCCATGGAAAATGGATGGAACATGGATATCCACCAATAATAACCTATAGTTGATATCCAGCAATAAACACCAATATAGTGACATCGTTTTGACCAGCAAACATGTCGAAGCAATTCGAGATGTCCAATCGCGAGTGGTCATCCGACCATCCCAAGTCATCCTTCGATACAAAAATCATCCCCCAACGTCACCAGAAATGGCATACCCTCTGGTAAACATACAAAAAGCTATTGAAAATGGCCATTTATAGTCAGTTTTCCCATTAAAAATGGTGATTTTCCATAGTTATGTTATGTTAGTTTACCAGAGGGTACACCTTTCAAAAATGAGAGGTTGGTTCTGCTTTGACGTTTGCGAGTGATAAATGTTTTTTTCTAAGAAAGTGCTCACCCATCTAGTCAAGACAGCAGGTGTTGAAGGCTGCAGCACCACATACCTTTCTAAGGCATCCATGTGCCTCAAATGATTGTACAATGCCCCATTGTGGGTCCACCCACCTCGCGACTGGAAAAGAGCATGATGCTCCCATGGCGGGTTTTGAACCTGGCTTCACAAAAAAAACATGGGAAGTTTCATTATTGATGATATGAGCTGGGGAATTGATAAAAACCAACGAACAATTTGGAATTTTACCAGCAAGAACAGGGATATAGTGGGGACATAATTACTAATATGAGATCTAATACGTAAAATAATAATTTGGGTGTGCCTGAAACTGGGGGACATGATATTCTTCCAAAACACAAATTTTATGAGGAAAATATGGGAAAATGATGAAACACGGTGGATTTACGTGTATCATCGTGTATCCTATTTTCAGACCACTTGATGGGGTCATCCATCTCAGATCAACCATCCGACGGTCTCAAAGGAGTCATGCAAAGTCAGGTCCACCGAGTGTCGCAAAGCACTCCATCTGGAATTATGTTACATTATATTGTGAATATGTTATTTATATAATATATATATGTTATACATGTTAAGATCATTCATATACAGTAGTAATCGTAGTAAACAGCAGCATATAACATTATATCATCATGTTTACGGGTCACGGCACTGATAAGCAGTGACATAAATGAATGGGACATAGATGCATCCAGCATTTCGGCGCCACTCGATTCACATTCCGTCCCCAATCTCATACAGTACCATCACCAAAATCATCAGGACTGAAAACACATCAACATCGACTAGACCCATCTATATAACCATCCAAACGCAAAGTAAACTATCTAACCATCATCCGACATCATCAAACCATCACCTAACCACCATCACCAACCCATCAATCACCATCCTGCAGCCCCCAGCCACATACAACGGGCCGGTGCTGCGTCTTGCCCTGCGTCAAGGGCAGGCCCTCCTGAGCGTTTCCAGTCATTGCCTCCACCAGTTCCGGCAAGCTGTTGGCCACCATGACCTATCTGGGAAGACCATGGCAGTGGTGAAACATGTGGAGATTTTCAGGTTGAATTCAAGAGTTGACATATCTGGTGAAAGATATGGGGATGTGAGATGAATTAAATCCACGCTGGTCTGGTCATCTGCACGTTTGAAGACATCTGCAAAACTTCTCATTCCCATCTGTTCAGTTCATCCTCATGAAACACACGTTTCAAGCGTCCCTTATCACCAAATGCCAGTGGAGAAGTTTTTTTGACCAAAGTGGATGCTGTTTCGCACTGGGTTGCTGTAAAACACTGCACGTGTTGCTCATGCACGGACAAATAATTTTTACATAATGGAAAAATTGCCAATCAAGCTCGGTTGAGCGTTGACAGCTTCACACTTAAAGACGGTCAATGCACTTCAGATCCTCCATGCACTTCACGAGGCGCTCAGCCATAAACTCCTCACCACTGCGGAGAGACATACGAGGATCATAGTACTTCTTGTTGGGCTTCTCGGCTCCCTCAGGATTTCCGATCTGGGCCTGCAAGTAGTCCTTGTTCTTCTTCTGGTACTCGTTCATGCCATCCCAGAAGGCCCACTGAGTGTCAGTGTCAATGTTCATCTTCACAACTCCGGCCTCAATGGCGTAACGGATATCCTCCAGGGAGGAACCAGAGCCACCATGGAAGACGAAAGACACTGGCTTGTCGCTCTCGCATCCCAACTTCTCCTTGATGTATTCCTGGGTGTTGTGCAGGATCACTGGCTTCAGGCTCACGTTGCCAGGGGCATAGACTCCGTGGACGTTGCCGAAAGCAGCGGCCACGGTGAAGTTGCCATTGGGCACGGAAGAAAGCGCCTCATAGACCTGCCAAACCTCCTCAGGCTGAGTGTACAAACGAGAGGAGTCCACATCGGTGTTGTCCACACCATCCTCCTCACCACCAGTCACACCAAGCTCCATCTCCAACAAAAGGTTGATCTTGGCCATGCGCTCCAAGTACTTCTTGCAAATGGAGATGTTGTCCTCCAAAGATTCCTCTGACAGGTCCAACATGTGGGAAGAGAAGAGGGGCTCACCGTTCTTCTCAAAGTACTCCTCGCTGGCCTCAATGAGGCCATCGAACCATGGCAACCAAGACTTCTGGCAGTGGTCGGTGTGAAGGATCACCGGCACACCGTAGAGCTTGGCCACTTGGCGCACATGAAGTGCTCCAGCCACGGTGCCTGCAATGCAGGCAGCATCATCGGTGTTGTCAGCGGCCTTGCCCGCCAAGAACTGACCACCACCACGGGAGAAGGTGACCATCACAGGGCCGCCAGCCTTCTTGGCTGCTTCCATGCAAGCATTCACTGAGCTGGAGCTCACAACGTTGACGCCAGGGATGGCGAACTCGTTCTCCTTTGCGTAGTTGAGCAAGTCAACCAAGGCCTGGCCAGTCACAACTCCTGGCTTCACGGAAGCAGGCATCTTGGTGAAGACCTTCTCTGCCACGGCAGTGGCCTGGCGCACCACCTGGGAACGGCGTGCTGTGCGCTTTCCGACCTGTGCGGCCGACGCGACTGCCACGCCGGCAACACCCAAGGTCAAAGCACCTGCAGCAGCAGAGGACGACTCTGTGGCTGCTGGCTGCTGACGCAAGTTGCGCACTTGTTGCTGGTTCACCTGTGGGCTCACGGAAGGGGCCAGGAATGCCTGGGCAGCCGCATAGGCACCGACACCGGCAATTGCCACGGAGCAAGCTTTGGAAGGCATGATGCACAGAGGCGAACTTCTAACCCAGACTGGATGCTTTTGAGCACAAAAATTTCTTGCATTTGCACGGCTCACTGCTTGCTCTTGGAATTTGTGGAAAGAAAAAAGACCTTGGGCGTCACTTTGGCAAACTTTGGTTTTCCCAACTACAAAAGAAACACAAACTCACTCATGGACACACAAAAATCCCACAACAAAACATGAAACTATAGGACGGTGTAGCCTGAAAGAAAGCAAGAGGGAGGAGATCAAAAGGGGATGGAGGAAAATATGATGATGACAAAGACGAATGAAGAATGACGAACATTGATGAATGATGAATGATGAATGGTGAATGATGAATGATAATGAACTATGATGAATGATGAAAGATGAATGAAATTGATGAGGCACGATGACTGATGATCATATCCACCGGGGTGAAAGTGGTGCCCTGCGCGTAGCACAGCTCACCCATCCATGCTCTCTAAACCACCAACCATATTTATGCCATGTATGCTGCTGGACACATTTTATAATTACTGATCATATGTCAATCTCATATGCTCATATATGCATCAGTATATCCTCATTGGAAAGAGGAGAAGGATCACGTCTACTCAGATGAACGGATGACCTCAGTGAATCGAGTTTTGCGGCATCTGGATGATGTATGATAATGTGTCAAGGAGCAATACATGTCCCATCTTCGCTGCAAGACAGGAACCGGAGCTCAAACTCAAAGAAAAATGAGGCCTGCAAGTCGTAAGTCCAAGTTAAACTGCCCTCACTTCAGCTTTTGCTGCAAAGAAGAAGTTTGCTGCAAGCAAAGGACTTGAAACCGCGATCATGCTGGTCACACAATCGGCCTGATTCAGCAAACAAACGGTGGAACAAGGCAGCTTCATCAAGTAGTGGTCGGCAATCGGCCTTTCCAGATATTCTACGAGAAAAGGAACCTGCTCTTGCACAGTGGCACCACTGGGAAGAGACAACAACTTGCCAGAAAAGACGACGCCAGTGCAAGAATCGAACGCGCGCATCTGAGCAGAGAACGTCGGATCAACGAAGCGTTTACACACAGAAGCTTTTACACAGAAAAGCTTTCAAACAGAAACGCCTTTACACACAAGAGCTTTTACACACAGAGGCTATTACACAGAAAAGTTTCAACACGGAGAGAGAAGATGCTTCCACGCAGACGTTTTCAAATCGTTTACGCACACACAAACGCTCTTGCACAGAGCAGCCTTTACACAGAAGCTTTTACACAGCTCTTACACAGAGAAGCCGTTATACACACAGAAACCTTTACACAGAGAACGACTTTTTATATATAACAGGACACGGAAACCCTTTTTACACGCAAAAAAATGGTACACAGAAGACTTTGCACAGAGATCACCCTTGAAATTCACCCTAATGGGTCAGGGCCCACATTTTATAGCTATAAAACCCGGGGCCTCGCAAAAAGCCTACAAAACAAATGGGGACGAGTAAAAGAAATATCCATACGAAATGGTAGGGTTTTTGCAGCATCCCGCATGTGTAGGGAGGTATATTTTGTCTAGATGTTTGATGTCAGTCTATCTCATTCTGAAAATGAGCCCTGCTTGCATGCTTGGACCCTGTGGCCCAAAAAGGGCATCGTTTTGTAAGAACCTGCTGCTCTGCCACTTCCCCGCCTTGGCATGCAACGCAACATGTAAGAAGCAGCAGAGTTGGCAACTCTTGGGCAAAAGGGGGGAGTATGAACGTTTCAACCTTCGTCAAGATTGCAAAAGGACAGGCAGCAAATATCAGTGGGCCCATTTCCTTACAAAAAGGATGGGTTGCTCCTTAAAGGGAACTGAGGGCTGAGTGAGAAAACGCAGGGCAATTGCCAAGAAGGGAAGTCTGAGCCCTTGGGGTGAATTTCCGGGGGGAAAACATGTGCATTTCGTAGCCCAGCCATCTATTTCCCACGTGACTGACCACGCAGTCTTGTCATGTCCGGAGTTGCAGATGGAGCTCTGTGGTGATTTATTCGCATTCATTCAAGATCGGGCGCTGACCGTGGTCTCTTTGCCAAATTCAATTTGAACCCACAAACGCCCTAAAGATGCTTGGCAGACTGGGTCATGGGCCAGAACCGACATGCTCTTCCAAATGCAAAGCACGAATTCCTTACAACATGACCCCTTAAAATCAACAAAGTGGTTCTTTACAAAAAGGAATGGCCCCAACATGCCCCAACCCAGCCAAGATCTCAAACTGCATTTTGAAATTGCTATATGATAGTGATTTTATGCCTAAATCATTTCTTACAATATGGCAAGGTGCAAGCGGCTCCCTACAAAATGGCCTCTGAAATGGGCCTTGAGGCCTTCCAAATTAGTACATGCTACAAAATGGCCGGCCACGGGAAAATGATTTCCTACAAAATGACCCACCGGTCTTATATGGGCCTGGAGGCCTACCATTTCAGAAAGGAAATTTCAACGGGGATGCACAAAGCAATTTTTACACCGAGCAGCTTTTGCACACAGATACCTTTACACACAGACACTTTTACACGGAGAAGCCTTGTCACAGTGAAGCTTTGCCACATTGGACCACTCTTCGTGCGGAAGGTCTGACACGCACCATCCCCGCAGAGGGTTGCGCCAGCGCAAGAAGATTCGCATTTCGCCACGCGTTTGGGCGTCCGACATGCACAATCTCCGCAGAGGGCTAAGCGGCTAAGCAAATTCGTATTCTTGCCACACATTTGGACGTCCGACACGCACGATCCCCCCAGAGGGTTGCGCCAGCGCAAGACAAAGTCGTAGTTTGCAACACGTTTGGACGTCCGACAACCACTATCCCCGCAGAAGGTCATGTCTCAATAGAGGCAGGCTGCCCCTGCCGCCGTAAGAGAGAAATAGAGAAACTTGAGAAATAGATCCCGTTGTGCTTTTCAAGGGTGAAGTTGCGCAGGCACTTTGTAGATACACGTCCCTGGGCACAACCTCATTGCTACAAAATGCAACTTGGCCTACTTTGAAAATCACTACAAAATGCTGGCACGCATGACCGTAAAGCCTAACATTTATTTGGGATAATCTTGGATGATCCGGGACCCCCACAGATTGCTTGCTACAAAATGCAAAGCAAATTCAAGGAACCGCCATTTGGCAAAAGGGACAAACCCTACTAGAATTCGATACGCGCTGCCACAAGTATGCAACATTTTCCGGAATAAACATTTGTTTTCAGTCAAGTGTATTTTTGGTGCGGTTTGCGGAGGTGCATACATTGATATGTTTTCACATTTTGAATTTCGATTACTTGTTTGCTTGTTTTGGGCGTTTCAGCCGTGGGCCCGGAGAAGACATGAAATTCGGCAAGAGTGATTTAATTTGCCCTGAATTTCCACAAGTGCCACACTACATCACACTATTTCTCTATATCATATCCTACCGCAAAGTTTTGTAGTGGGTGTTGCACTCACTCGGAGTTGATTGGGTGGTTGTGAGCCTTTTGGTTGACAGATCTGAGCATGGATTTGAACTTGCGTGAAATTCGACTATTGGACAACAAGAGAACGAACCTAGTAGAATTTGGACACGCTTGGATTGTAATTACCAAAAAATGCAGACAAAAGCACCGCTCAGAGATTTTTATTTATCACGATGGTCAGAAAAATGGAGCAACAAAACGGATTTCAGAGATTGTCAGAACTATGGAGCAACACAAAGGATTTAAATACCCACAGCTTGAATTTCACATGACTGATTTTGAAACCAAATCTGTCCCACATTTTTCCTCTTTAAGGTCTCTACCTAAAACTCTTTCTTTCAAACTTTTTGGGGACCTTCTGGAGAGGGACCCACTAAGCTCTACAAAATGCTTGTGCACGCGTATGTTACTACAAAATGCGATATGCATGACAAAGGTTCCCAGGGAAACTAGGAGACCTGCTCTATAATGATCAAAGCAGAGCTGGCTGCCTCAAGGGGGCTGCCAAGAATCGCCCATACAAAATGCCAAAAACACGTTGGATCTCAGCTTTGTGGTTAAGAGGAACTCTGAACATGGATTTGAACTTGCGCGAAATTCGCCTATTAGACAAAACGAAAACGAACCTATAGTAGACTTGGGCGCTTGGATTGTAATTACCATAAAGGTTCAGACAAAAGCACGGCTCAGAGATTTTTTTTTACCACGGTTGCCAAAGCTATGAAGCAACAAAAAGGATCCAAAATATACAGGCTCAATCTTAAATGGCTGATTTTGAAACTAATTTTGTCCCACATTTCTCCTTTGAAACTCTCTGCGTAAAACTTTTTTCTCTGCATACATAAAAGCCCAATCAAAATAATGGGTCTGGAGCAAGTACACGTTGACGCTTTTTGCAATGGAACATTTCAGGGGAAACGGGGAAACGCTAGTTTTTCATAACTTCACTACTTCACTACAAAAACCTGTGGTTTTATCCATTCTACCCCCGGAATGTACCAAAATGCACCCCGCATTCACTACAAAGTGGCCCAGCACATTCACAACGGAAACGGAAAATATCAACTACAAAGTGCTCATTTTTTGAAACTCAAGTTGGTCTTATCAATGAAGATCATGCCCCGCTACAAAATGCTAGCACCGGCTACAGCTACAAACTCCATTTCTTGACCGCATTTTTTGCTGCAAAATCATAGGAAACGGCCAGTCTGTGCCAAGCACAGCATCACCCACTTCGTAGTGGAAATTGGAACGGGGATGCAAACAGGAGTTTTGTTGGAATTCAGATAGAAGATGATCACCTGCAAGTCAACTCGCGTGTAACAGACCCGTGAACTCCAGTCTGGCAACTCCTATGTAACAACTCCTCTGTAATAACTCATGTGTACCAACTTCTGTGTAACAACTCCTGTGAGGCATGTAACAACTCCAGTCTGACAACTCCTGCGTAACAACTCCTGTGTAACAACTTCTGTGAAAAAAGTGCTGTGTAACAACTCCTGTGTAACAACTCCTGTGTAGCAACTCCTGTGTGATAATTGCTGTGCAACAATCCTGTGTAAATGACATTGTAGAAGTCTTGTACAGTAGGAGATATACACCTGTAGATGATGTAGATTGTGTAGGTGATGTAAGTGATGTAGATGTTGTAGATGATGTACATGTTGTCAATTGTCGATGTTGGAGATGATGTGGATGATGTTGTATGAGATGTAGATGATGATGTAGACAATGTATGTGATGTAGATTACGTGTGGTATGTAGATGAGGTTGATGGGGATTGTGTAGATGATGTAGATGATGTAGATGATGTAGTTGAGGTTCATGTAGAGAAGATTGTGTAGAAAATATAAGTGATGTAAAGGATGAAGCACATGTGGATGATGTATGCCATGTAAAAAATTGATTTTGGCAGCAGTTCTTTGGGAAAAACCCTTCGTGGGACCTTTCGGGAACAAAATTGAAGAATCAAAGTGTCTTGGGTAAGGGCTTGGAAGTGCTTTTTGGTATCAACACGCTCAGTTGATCATCTGGCAGAAAATCATAAATAATGTAAATCATGGCAAAACTCTGAGTAAATACCATTTCTTCCAGGTCAATGAAGGTCTATGTTATATAATCTTGGGCCAGCATTTTCCTGATTTCTTAAAAATGGCTCGGTCGGAGACCTCGCCGTGCATGACATTGGCTTTGATCGTCCTATGCCCGAGCTGGCTTTAGGGGGTAAGCTGCCACACGCGCTGAACCCCAGTTGCATTGCCACCTAAGGTTCATAAAACGCCTGACTGGATCCTCCCGTTGCATTTCATTGCAGCACTTGCCCCTTGCCTTTTTGAGCCTGGATGCTGTTTCGCACTGAGTTGCTGTGAAACACTGCACGTGTTGCTCATGCACGGACAAATAATTTTTACATAATGGAAAAATTGCCAATCAAGCTCGGTTGAGCGTTGACAGCTTCACACTTAAAGACGGTCAATGCACTTCAGATCCTCCATGCACTTCACCAGGCGCTCAGCCATGAACTCTTCACCACTGCGGAGAGACATACGAGGATCATAGTACTTCTTGTTGGGCTTCTCGGCTCCCTCAGGATTTCCGATCTGGGCCTGCAAGTAGTCCTTGTTCTTCTTCTGGTACTCGTTCATGCCATCCCAGAAGGCCCACTGAGTGTCAGTGTCAATGTTCATCTTCACAACTCCGGCCTCAATGGCGTAACGGATATCCTCCAGGGAGGAACCAGAGCCACCATGGAAGACGAAAGACACTGGCTTGTCGCTCTCGCATCCCAACTTCTCCTTGATGTATTCCTGGGTGTTGTGCAGGATCACTGGCTTCAGGCTCACGTTGCCAGGGGCATAGACTCCGTGGACGTTGCCGAAAGCAGCGGCCACGGTGAAGTTGCCATTGGGCACGGAAGAAAGCGCCTCATAGACCTGCCAAACCTCCTCAGGCTGAGTGTACAGACGAGAGGAGTCCACATCGGTGTTGTCCACACCATCCTCCTCACCACCAGTCACACCAAGCTCCATCTCCAACAAAAGGTTGATCTTGGCCATGCGCTCCAAGTACTTCTTGCAAATGGAGATGTTGTCCTCCAAAGATTCCTCTGACAGGTCCAACATGTGGGAAGAGAAGAGGGGCTCACCGTTCTTCTCAAAGTACTCCTCGCTGGCCTCAATGAGGCCATCGAACCATGGCAACCAAGACTTCTGGCAGTGGTCGGTGTGAAGGATCACCGGCACACCGTAGAGCTTGGCCACTTGGCGCACATGAAGTGCTCCAGCCACGGTGCCTGCAATGCAGGCAGCATCATCGGTGTTGTCAGCGGCCTTGCCCGCCAAGAACTGACCACCACCACGGGAGAAGGTGACCATCACAGGGCCGCCAGCCTTCTTGGCTGCTTCCATGCAAGCATTCACTGAGCTGGAGCTCACAACGTTGACGCCAGGGATGGCGAACTCGTTCTCCTTTGCGTAGTTGAGCAAGTCAACCAAGGCCTGGCCAGTCACAACTCCTGGCTTCACGGAAGCAGGCATCTTGGTGAAGACCTTCTCTGCCACGGCAGTGGCCTGGCGCACCACCTGGGAACGGCGTGCTGTGCGCTTTCCGACCTGTGCGGCCGACGCAACTGCCACACCGGCAACACCCAGGGTCAAAGCACCTGCAGCAGCAGAGGACGACTCTGTGGCCGCTGGCTGCTGACGCAAGTTGCGCACTTGTTGCTGGTTCACCTGCGGGCTCACGGAAGGGGCCAAGAATGCCTGGGCAGCCGCATAGGCACCAACACCGGCAATTGCCACGGAGCAAGCTTTGGAAGGCATGATGCACAGAGGCGAAATTCTAACCCAGACTGGATGCTTTTGAGCACAAAAATTCTTGCGTTTGCACAGCTCACTGCTTGCTCTTGAAATTCGTGGAAAGAAAAAACATCTTGGGCGTCACTTTGGCAAACTTTGGCTTTCGCAACTACATGAGGGACCCTTATTTCTATCATGGACACTAAAGAATCTTACTACAAAGCAGGAACAAAAATATGAACATAATGTCTTAATATAACATAATCATACACAATCAACATGTCACGATATATCACGTTTTCTGCTGTGAACCCCAGTTGCATGCAGCACTTGCCCCTTGCCTTTTTGAGCCTGGATGCTGTTTCGCACTGAGTTGCTGTGAAACACTGCACGTGTTGCTCATGCACGGACAAATAATTTTTACATAATGGAAAAATTGCCAATCAAGCTCGGTTGAGCGTTGACAGCTTCAGACTTAAAGACGGTCAATGCACTTCAGATCCTCCATGCACTTCACCAGGCGTTCAGCCATGAACTCTTCACCACTGCGGAGAGACATACGAGGATCATAGTACTTCTTGTTGGGCTTCTCGGCTCCCTCAGGATTTCCGATCTGGGCCTGCAAGTAGTCCTTGTTCTTCTTCTGGTACTCGTTCATGCCATCCCAGAAGGCCCACTGAGTGTCAGTGTCAATGTTCATCTTCACAACTCCGGCCTCAATGGCGTAACGGATATCCTCCAGGGAGGAACCAGAGCCACCATGGAAGACGAAAGACACTGGCTTGTCGCTCTCGCATCCCAACTTCTCCTTGATGTATTCCTGGGTGTTGTGCAGGATCACTGGCTTCAGGCTCACGTTGCCAGGGGCATAGACTCCGTGGACGTTGCCGAAAGCAGCGGCCACGGTGAAGTTGCCATTGGGCACGGAAGAAAGCGCCTCATTGACCTGCCAAACCTCCTCAGGCTGAGTGTACAGACGAGAGGAGTCCACATCGGTGTTGTCCACACCATCCTCCTCACCACCAGTCACACCAAGCTCCATCTCCAACAAAAGGTTGATCTTGGCCATGCGCTCCAAGTACTTCTTGCAAATGGAGATGTTGTCCTCCAAAGATTCCTCTGACAGGTCCAACATGTGGGAAGAGAAGAGGGGCTCACCGTTCTTCTCAAAGTACTCCTCGCTGGCCTCAATGAGGCCATCGAACCATGGCAACCAAGACTTCTGGCAGTGGTCGGTGTGAAGGATCACCGGCACACCGTAGAGCTTGGCCACTTGGCGCACATGAAGTGCTCCAGCCACGGTGCCTGCAATGCAGGCAGCATCATCGGTGTTGTCAGCGGCCTTGCCCGCCAAGAACTGACCACCACCACGGGAGAAGGTGACCATCACAGGGCCGCCAGCCTTCTTGGCTGCTTCCATGCAAGCATTCACTGAGCTGGAGCTCACAACGTTGACGCCAGGGATGGCGAACTCGTTCTCCTTTGCGTAGTTGAGCAAGTCAACCAAGGCCTGGCCAGTCACAACTCCTGGCTTCACGGAAGCAGGCATCTTGGTGAAGACCTTCTCTGCCACGGCAGTGGCCTGGCGCACCACCTGGGAACGGCGTGCTGTGCGCTTTCCGACCTGTGCGGCCGACGCAACTGCCACACCGGCAACACCCAGGGTCAAAGCACCTGCAGCAGCAGAGGACGACTCTGTGGCCGCTGGCTGCTGACGCAAGTTGCGCACCTGTTGCTGGTTCACCTGTGGGCTCACGGAAGGGGCCAAGAATGCCTGGGCAGCCGCATAGGCACCGACACCGGCAATTGCCACGGAGCAAGCTTTGGAAGGCATGATGCACAGAGGCGAAATTCTAACCCAGACTGGATGCTTTTGAGCACAAAAATTCTTGCGAAGGCAAGGATTGCAAACCTCTGACATCACCTGCCAAATTTGACGTCCTACGTGTTGAGAGAGGAACAGCTTGTTGCAGCCAGATTTTCTGAGTATCCGCACCCCATAGCCACCATTGCATCTGAACATCAGCTCATCGTTTCCACCTCGTCCGGGCAAATCCCCAGTTCAGCTTCACAACTTCTTCCAGCTGCACAAAATCAGTCCACACCAAAGCCCCAACCATGTCCAGATATGGAAAAAAATGAAAGGCCGTGCATATCATTTGCCATCATGTACCTATTGGATCTCATAGCTTCTTTAGGAGTTACACTGAAAAATTCTCCAACTTTTGACTATAATAACCATAAGAAACCCTTATATTATGCCATTTATCCCTCTATTAACCAACTAACCCCCCTAATGGCATATCATCTATGTAATCTTCTATCATTTAATATCACTTCATATCATTTATAATATCACTTTATATCACTTAATATCATTTAACACACACATATATATAATATATATTAAAAACATATCATTTTTTAATCCACATTTATCCCCACATGAACCCACCCGAGCCATACCATAAACACCACACTCCAAACATTCGACGCCGCCGAGTTGCTGTCCCCGCACGCAAGGGTTTCGCCAGGTTCTGGCGGTGTTTGTGGTGCGTTCCCGGTGTTTGGGCCATCTGAAAATCAAGGCCTATATATAGTGGCTATGTGATACTATGGAAAACTATGGAAAATCACCATTATAAATGGGAAAACTCACTATTTCTATGGCCATTTTCAATATGATGGTTATGGATAATGGTGGATTTTCAATGGTTGATGGTGAATGATGGGATATATGACAATACACAAAAAAAATCTATAGTGGCGTTTTGTGATACCCGGCCTGGTGAACTAAAACAAACATAGCTATTGAAAATGGCCCAGTCGAAATAGTGGATTTTCCCATGAAAATCGCATGGTGATTTTCCATTATTATGTTAGTTCACCGGAGGGTAATGGATGATGATGGGATATGGATGGATATGTGATATGTGAAAATACACTTAAAAACAATAAAAAAACAATCTTAATAAACATCACATATCAATATTTTGTTTGTTACACCAGAAACCCATGGTGAGTGGGGAAATGTATGACTTATGGACATGTTCATTTTGGGAATGTTATAGGGGAATTTAAATACGTATATTGAAAATCCCCTATCAATGGAGGTTTGAATGGGAATATCACCATTAAAGAGCTCAAAAAAAGGGAGTGATTTCCCAGGCTCTCTGAATTTCTCTAGGTGCCCCGACCGAACTTCAGCTCCCTTCGGGCGAATTCCAAAGCCTTGCCCTTCCCTGCCTGGCGTGACCCCAGAGGGGGGCGGACCTCCCCCGGTTGGGGGAACATCTCCAAGAACCAGCTTTGGTGGTGAAAGCATCCGAAGATCTGGAAGAGTTGAAGTTTTCTGTGGAGAACACTGAAAAACCTGGAAGCTTGCGTACTTATGAATCAACCATCATCAATCTCCAACCCTGAAGTTCTGCAACCATGTTGAAAACCTCGTTCAGGACCCATGGAGGTGCGTCCAAAGAATGTTCAAATGCTGTAAACCCAAGAAAACACATCTTAAACATCTTAATAACCAACAAGCAAAATCTGTGGCTTCACTCCAAGCAACTTTGATTCAAACGCCATCCATAGCCTATAGCTGAAGAATCGAGCTGAAGCCCACCTCTGCAGAACAAATATCAATGAGCTTCCACTCACCATGCCCTGAAGAGATCACCTGCGCCAAGTCGGCTTCCACGTGGAATCCAAGGATTTATTGCCATCCCACAGCTATTTGTGGGCAAAAATCCCCAACCTTATTTGGGACTACAGAAAAAGTGGAGGGTTCTCACCTAAAAAACCATCGTTTTTTGGTGCCTCGTTGATGGTTCATGGCCTGGTACTTCTCTCCCAGGGTCTCCTGAAGGGTCGTCTTGCCAGCATCAAAGTTACCATCCTGGGGGCGTGAACGCCAGGAAACATGGGTGATGAAGCCACTTTCATCACCAACCCGGACATGGATTTTGCAGGCTTATAACATGTACTTTATGTATATATATATATACACATCAAAATTCATTCATCGGCAAATAACATAGGTATGAAATTAAATGTAACGAAAAATAACATATCCCAGCAATGAGACTTGGGGTTAAGAATCAAGAGATAAATGCTGTCCTCAAATAGGACACATGGGGGGCCGGTTCCCCATACCACATAGGCAATCATCAATCATTAACTGACACATTTCATTAATCAATCATTTACCTAAAAGGTTTCAAGAGTTGGCCCTTGGTTTTCACCAGCCAACCAGTGAAGCAAGATCGGGTCTTCGGCGTCGTCGTGGATTTGATGGGGGATTTGGTGCAACTAGCCGCAACTAGGTTTCATCAAACGCGGCTGGAATATCCCCTAGAAATGGAGGTCTTAATCATTAAAACAACTGGTAAGCCAAAACATTATATAACAAAATAAACGCTAATCCCAAACGCTAGAGAAATACTCAAGACTCACTAAGAAATGAACATTTTGATACCCAATAGTGGGAAACCCGCATCTGCAAGTCTTAGTGTTTTAATGGGAAAAGCAATGAACATCAACTAAAAATCAAAGATAGCTGGCAGGGAAATCAACAAAAAATGGAGGGATTTAACAGGAAATTCATCGAAGTACATGGTAGAGTTGCCTTGGCCAGGCGGCCATGACCAGCGGTAAACAAAGATGCCATCCATCAAAGTTCACTAAGCCTCGGACCATTTGGTAGGCCGTGGGGATTCGGTAAGGGTCGTCCTGGGGCACCCAGCTTTGCTGAAACGTCCTTTTCTTGCCACATGTATCTTTATACTGTATATAACTATCACCAAAAGGGATTTTCCATGATTTTCTCCAGTTTTTCCCCAGCATCTTCCACTTTGAAAGTCACCACTGCTTGCAGTCTAAACTTGAACAGTTAAAAAACCATCAGCTTGTTCTAAAAAAAACACGAAATTGGAGAGGTCGTACATGTCAGGGAAACTATTCATTAATAGCACAATTGGTGACCATGTTTGGCGTAAATACATGTAGATACTAGGTATACTCATTGTGAGTTCCAGCAATATTATTGTAAGATTTTTGGCGACCAATCTTCCCCATATCTTTGTTGGTTGAAGTCTTTCCATTTTTGTCGACAATTTCTGATAGCACACCCACATTGATCGGATTGCACCCCATGTATACAAGTGGCGAATGTTTCCTGATTTGGAGTCCAAGGCTGGACAACAATGTAAAACATTGTAAAACGATATAGAAACATGCATTTCAAACTCATTAAAACTCACCAATCAGTTTGGGTATCTACAACCTTCAAACAACCTTCACCACACTGTCCAGCCGTCCCCCTTTCCAAACGTCTGCGTCTCCTGAGGAGTTCCCCGAAGTTCAAACTTGGGGAAACCAGCGGTGAGGATGTCCTGTCATGGAACTCGATTTCCGGATGCGGATTTCACTAACCAAAGGACAATTAAAGGAATTTACATGAGGCTAATATAGGCTAATTAAGATGTTATTTTTTAACTAACCCCCATGGAAGTTGCGCGATCTGCGCGATTTGGTGCAGGATCTTGGCATCCACCTCTTCGACCATGACGTCTTTATCCGGAAACTCATCCTGTGTTTCACAAAGAAATGCGTGTGGCTACCTATGGCTATCTGAACAGTAACATAGTGCCAATCATTTATTGCTGCCTCAAAACTTCAACCTCCATTTTTTGATGTTTTTTTGATGGTAGGCTCCCAACATCTCCCAACAAAATGCTTGCAGAAAATAGGTCCCGGCGCCTCCACATACTTTCGGTCGAATCCATTGAGCACTTTGGTCCTGGAAAGCTGGAAAGTGCCGGTCGGCTGGTCATGCACTATCGGGATTCCGCAAGCAGTGGCTATACATGCTATACATTGTACAGTAGTATCATAGTATTGAAACATACTGATTACTAAATGACACTGAATGTATGAACCCATATATATAATGATATATAATGATATATAATGATATACAAATATATATATATATATCATATCGAAACGTATAGAAACATATAGAAACCCCTGTACAAATGAGGGGATGACCATCCCGTAATGATTGCCGTATCGCCGGCCATGCTGAGATCATCAAGCTGATCCCGCAACATCCAATGTCCACGGCCGAGAGGCCCAAACTCATCCAACATGCTTTGTTCATATTCAAGACCAACATCATGTTAACATATTATATACACATTATCATCCAAAAATCATGTTTATCTATGTATATTCATGTTTATTGAATTCAAAAACAGGAGCTCCAACATCCCAATTGCCAATCTACCCATCGTTGGTCCCATTGGAACCTCCATTCAGGCATCAGCTCCAAAGTCTGCCCTGCCTAGTGCGGGGCAGCTTCGGGCCACCGAAACAGTACTGTAGTCCCAAAATATCCGAAACTGTTTTGGGGCAAGACGATACAGATATTGGTGTAGTCCCAAAATATCCAATGTAATACTGTAATCCCAATATATGAATAATAGTGTAATCCAATATTACCAATGTAATCCAATGTATCCGTATCTGTTCATGTTGTACAAACATGGTTTCTGCTGGGCAAGACACAAGCCTGTGATGGTTTGACTCGAGTTCCACATTCCAACAAATGATCCAGGAGACTGTGTGAACTCCACTTTGCTCCTACTGCAAGGCCCCCTGATGCGTCCTACAAATCCTCGCCCATTCTTCGGCTTATCGTTGGTCTTGAGTCTTGACCATGTAGCCATATCAAACCCACTGCAATTGGCACCTCCCACCAATCAAACAAAGGCAATGTCTGTGGGATCGCATAGACTTCGGTGCCAACACCACCTCGACAAGCAAAAGCAAGGGCAAAAAAGGAGAGGCAGAGGAACATCCCTCGAATCGACCTGATGTACAAAATGCTGCAAATACGATGCAAATGAGAGGTTTCACCACTAGATTTATTAGATGTTTGAATGATGCTGGTCCATAATATGGATTTTCCCCTTCTTTATTTTTTTTTCCGACATACCCCGTATCACAGTATGGTGTCAAGATTCCAAGCCCAACTATTAGAAACCCCAAACTCAGGCAGTATTAATTAATTAATTATATATATATATAAGTGTAACCCTACTTTTTCCATCTTCCCAGTATATTACCCTCTGGTAAACTAACATAACCATGGAAAATCACCATTTTTAATGGGTAAAACCACTATAAGTGGCCATTTTCAATAGCTATGTTAGTTTACCAGAGGGTACCCAGTATGTTCTCCCAATTTTGGGACTTCCCAAATATCCCCATGATATCCCCCTGGCGGCGGCTGTGCTGCCCCACAAATCATCAGCTCTGGTCTGGGCAAACCTCGTTCCTTTGCCACGTCTAAGGCCTCGCACCGGGGTACCCCGCCAAGCCCAAGGTGAATTTCAGGGGATTTTCATGGGATATATCGTCACGATTTCATGCTTTTTGTTTGTTGCTGATATGATACTGGTTGGTGGTTTTAACATTTTTAACCATCTTGAGAAATATGAAAGTCAATGGGAAGGATTACAATGCTGTGCGTGTCGCACTTGGTCTTGCAGTGAGAAGCAGAAGCTTCGAAAGCTTCGAAAAACAGTCGCTCATGCCCTGTACTAGCCATGGAAGTCGGGTTGTTCTTCTTCATGGTCAACACAATTGACAACCGAGCCTTAATATCAGGATCATCGTCCATGAGATCCATTGAACTCCCCTATTTTGTCCATGCTTGAATCAACTGAAATCACAATTCGCTTGGTCAAAACCAAAATAATTCACCAAGAAATCTCAAGTTTTGTTGCTGTGATCCCAGCCCGCAGTAGATCAAGAACTGTAATTTCTAGTCTGTTCCGACACTATCCCACATTTTGTTGCCATAAGTCACAACATGTCACAACTGCTTTTGACATCCCCACTGATCCGGCGGACTATGGCAAATTCCCAAATCAGCTACATCAATGGCTGTGTCTGAAAATCGGGTAGCCCCAATTCATCCAGCTCCAATGGTCTTTCTCTTGAGGATCAACCGCCATTTTCGGACAAAACCCGGCTGAATTATGAACTATAGTCATTCACTAAGCTGAAGAAAAACTGTTATAATAGAGACAGCCATCTGCAAATGATTCCCCTCCAATTTCCCGTGATTCTAGTGACGGACAGCGACATGAACTCAACATTCTCAAATTCATCGTCAGATCCATCAACCATCAAATTTACCAATGATATCCGATACAATTCATGATCATGATGCGCTGCTATTATATTATCCGATTCAAAACTGGTTGGTGGTTTCAACCCCTCTGAAAAATATGAACGTCAATGGGAAGGATTATCTCATATATTATGGAAAATAAAAAATGTTTGAAACCACCAACCAGGATATGATAATCATTGATAATCATATTTGGGTGTGTCTGAAAATAAGGGATCTACTCCGAGAAATATGGCCAGAAAAACCCGAAAACATGATGATCAACCATTGAATTGTAGGGCACCCAGGGTACCCCATTTTCAAACAAACACTGGATGCTACCAGCTGCCAGTACCCGATTCCTGGTTCAAAATGGTTCAAATGCAAGTCTTTATATTCGATAAAACATTTACCCACAATTTCCGAAATGCTCCACCGGAATCTGAAGAATCTGCCATCATTGGCCTCTGTCTCCCCAAGAGTCATAGCACCACCATTCAACCCATTCAACCACCGTTCAACCAGCTGCAGCCATGCGGCCATGCTCTTGTTTCGGCCAGTAGAGTAGGCCAAAGCCTCGTCTTTTATAAAAACCCATCGCAATGACAGAGAGATTATATACGATACATGGGTGTGCGGGGGATCCGTCTCCAATTTTTAGGGATGTACTGTACATCAACATATGTACCCTCTGGTAATTGAACATAGCTATTGAAAATGACCATTTATAGTGGATTTATATACCCATTAAAAATGGTGATTTTCCATGGTTATGTTAGTTTACCAGAGGGTAAATCCTTATTCTTCATCCTTCTCCAACCTTTGGAGATCATCATCAAAGAATAGGGATTGTGATATATATTACCCTCTGGTAAACTAACATAGCTATGGAAAATTGCCCATTTTTAGTGGATTTACCCATTAAAAATGGTGATTTTCCATAGCTATGTTAAATTACCAGAGGGTATTTATATATGAGTGGCGGACAAAGCTACTTACTACCCGCAATGGACATGGCCAAAGTGGACGGTCCCCGGTCCCCTATCGGTTGTGAAGGTTTGTACTTCCATGCTATGTGCAAAAATAGGGTATCGGTAAGTGGGTGGTCCCCTATCGGTTGTGAAAGTTTTCGCACAAATTTGAACATCCCATGTCCACTCTCCACTACTTTTTGTCTTCCGCTAATTTTGTCGGTTACTCATATATATATATATATATTATATTATATTATATTATATTGTATTGTATTATATTTATATTATTATATTATATTATATTTTGTTTTATTATATTATATTATATTATATATATTATATTATATTTTGTTATATTATATTATATTATATTATATTATATATATATATTGTATTATATATATATGTATTATATCATATATATGATATTATATATATGATATTATACGTATATATAATATTATATATAATATTACGTGTTATATTATATTATATCATATACATCTATACATATTATCTCAATTTTGAGGATAGAAACTGATGGACATCTAAACAAAAGCTATCTGACCCCACCTGGCGCATCTTGGCGCCAGCTAAGGCTTGGACGGAGCCGTTCAGGGCATACTCTCCCAGCCAAGTGTTTTTGAATTCCTGCGCTGAAGAGCTGTACTGGTTGGTGGTTTCAACCCCCTGAAAAATATTAGTCAGTTGGGATGATTCTTCCCAATATATGGAAAAATAAAACATGTTCCAACCCACCAATCAGTGTAGATCAACCCAGGATTTTTTGGCTGGGGAAATGATATGAAATGATATGAGATGACCAGTGGAACTGCCAACATCCTCAACAACGCGTCTGATCATCGCAACAGATTTTGTTTTTCAGGTCTGTCAACTACCCTTCATGATGCTTTCGAAGCAGGCAGTTTCCAAAATGCTGGACTCATCCATGAACTGAGACTGTGATATCATCCATGAACCAACCCACATGTGCCAGGGTCAAAACTCAGTAGGTACGGTATGGTCATCCCATTGTAATAGGGTTCCTTTTTAATGGTTGTTATAATTACCTATTAACCATTGGATGACCATCCCCTATTAATGGTTAATAATACCCAATATTGACCATTGCTCACATGGTACCATGCTTACCACCGCCACGGGGCCATGCCATCATGCCCCATGACCGCTGGCCATCGCTGGCCCGGGGTCCTCTAAGAGTTTGTTCTCAGGATCTCGCTCGTGGCCAATCAGCGTGTGATCCTGGGCGATGCCACAACGAATTGGTGCACTGGGGCACTGGATCAGTTCATCTCTATTATCTATTTATCTATATCTATCTATCTCTATATATATATAATTATATATATATATATATATTAGAATTGGTTGTCCTTAATGGATTCCTGTCATGTCATTTTCACTCATGCTTCCATTTGGCATCAAGGGTTTTCTCATTGGATGATCCGTGAGTCGAACTTGCAAATCTTTTGCTTCTCCGGAGGTGAAACATGTTGGTTATGACTAACACTTTGCCATGGTATAGATGGCCCATAGAAATAGATGGTTTACCGTTCTTAAAAATGGTGGATCTTTCCATGGCGAACTGTTAAATAACCAGATGGTAAGCAGATATTCCAAGAGCTTCGGGCATCAAGTAAGCCAACCTTTTCTGCAACATTGCTATAAAACCACCGGCCCAACCAAGTCACCAAATCGGTCACAACCAGCACACGGTTCTTTCGGATCCTGTCCATCTCCAGTGGTCCATGAACAATGTTTCACACCATGCCATGTCATCCATGTCTCAGTTTCACTTGAGATTCCCAAGAACCTCGTTGGTCGATATATGTCTATGTTTTTTCTTGATGACTTTGGAAATCCGTTTGAGAACTATCATCATCTTCACACAGTCACCCTAAGATACGGTATTTTATTATCATAATAACCCCAAAAATAGATAAGTGGAACATGTGAACACATTCTAGTCCATGATTCTATGACCTTGTGAGGTAAAACATGGAAAAAAACAACATCTATCACTTTTCGAGAGTGAGCAGCGCCATTCATTTTTCATATCTTCGAAAATAGGGTTTTCACCCTCTTTCCCCTGGATTGCCATCACTTTCCCCATGGAATTTCCATTAGTCATTTTGATTAATTTTACTGTAGGGGTTCTGAAATAATGGTGGATCCCCAAATCCATAGCTTGAAAGATACTAAAATATCTAAAATTTGATCAAACAATTTGAATGATTTGGGGGTAACCCCCCATGACTTAAGAACCTCCATTTCCGGGGTTCCACTTCTGGCTCCAGTCCTGGTCCCGTTCCACATTTCACCCGTTTTCCCCTCCGTCCACCCCGGTCTCCTGCGAAGGTGTCCATTCCGCAGCGAGTAACTGCCTCCCTCCTGGGTGCAGGAGTTGGTCAAAAAGAATCGTCGAAGAATGGCAATATAACAAATGGACTATTCCAATATACCAACAGGAATATTACTATATTGGTATATAATATTGCTATGGGACAAATCGAATATTACTATGTTGGTTCGTCCATAGTAATACAATGGCAATAACAATAACAATGCCAATAGTAATGGAATATTACTCATATATACTAATATTACTAATAATAATACCAACATATTGTACCAACTATTATTAGTTTTATATATTAATAGCGGGCAATTATTACTCCGAATGGTTATAATTGCAAGTAATGGCCAATCAATATCAATGATATTTGCTGTCCTAACTGATCCTAGCTGTATAATCCTCTTGTTGGATCAGCCATAGAATGACTATCCAGTATAGTTACAATGTCAAATGCCTCTTAATCATCAATGCAACGAAGAATCCTCTTCTTGTGTTGAACAATGAATTAGCATAACAACATATAACAACCATCCAGTTTCTGTGTTTTGGGACTATCAGCAAATAGTAACGCCAACATTGACGAAAAACCCTATACCCAATTCCATCCAATTCCATCCAATTCTACCGTTTGGATTCGGTTCGATTTTTCGTTTCTTTCTTTCACATCTAATTTGACCCAAAAAAGGCAAACCCAAGATGCCAATTCACATTCCAAAACCAGCGGCTCCAAGCCAATCCAGCCGTTTGCTAACGTTTGGCCCCAAACGTTTAAGCCAAACTAACGCCGCGCTTCGGCAGCGCTTCGTAAAGCGTCCAAGGGACGGTGATTTGGTAGTTCTTCTTGCCATACCAATCTGGAGGATTATCCCAATATTGCTTCTTCATGTCGCAGACCACAAATTCCAAGCCATCCGCCTGTACCGAAACATGGGGAAATGTGGCAAATCACGGGCATAGTCTTGGGCTTTAATGATCTGATCTTCAAGAGATACAGTGTATACATATATATATATATTATCATAAATTATATAGTTATATAGTTATATGTATATCATGTAGTTGTATGTATATATATATATATTATATATATATATATTGTTTGTATGTATATATAGTATATAGTATATAGTGTATTGTGTGTATTGTGTGTATTGTGTGTATTGTGTGTATTGTGTGTATAGTGTGTATAGTGTGTATAGTGTGTATAGTGTGTATGTGTGTGTGTATGTGTGTATGTGCGTATGTGCGTATGTGTGTATGTGTGTATGTGTGTATGTATGTATACTGTATGTATGTATGTAGGTAGGTAGGTAGGTATGTAGGTAGGTAGGTATGTATGTATGTATGTGTGTATGTATGTATGCATGCATGCATGCATGTATGTATTTATGTATGTACGTACATTTGTATATATATATATATAATAATGAAAAGCATAGAGAACCATACAGGGCCGAGACCCTATCGTCCACAGGACTCTGCAAGGCTTGCGCTGGCGCCTCTACTTGGAGCTGCTTCACAAAGTGCTTGCCGCTGACGTCCTTGGGCGGGGCATCATTCCAGTGATGGATAACCAAGTCTGGTTGGTGGTTTTAACCATCTTGAAAAATATTAGTCAATGGCAATGGGAAGGATTATCCCATATATCATGGAAAATAAACAAAGATTGAAACCACAAGCCAGAAGTGATCACATTATTTATCAATCCGGGAAACATGTTGCCACGTGATATATTACTGTAACACTTCCAACTAACTAATGATCACTACCAATCAATCACATATCAAAGCAATTTCAATGATATCAAACCGCCTGCTAGAGTTTTGAGATTCGGTATCAACATCTATCAACAACATACATCAATGTGTTTTTACTCACAGTTCCCGCAACTAAAAACTCCCTTGGGTCCTTGAAAGGAATGTCTCGCCAGGCACCTTCGCCTTTGGGGCAGCCTGGTCAGGAAACTCGAACAAGCTGATGTTGGATACTGTAATCTGATAATGGATCATCAAGCTGGACTATCAAATAGATGCATAACATAATAATAATAATACATAGTCCTTTAGCTGATGTTTGGGGGTTTACAACATGGGCAAACTGTTTTTTTTTACATCCAGACATCTTTTCCGAAACTGAGATTCTTCCAGCCGGGCGCACCATGCAGCTGGCATTCGTGCCAACCTGTGTAGTAGTACAACCTGCAATACAGGCTTTGGGCTCTGTTTCCAAAATCTCCAAACAGAGCCCAACAAAAAGGCAGTAGGTCTCCCGGTCTCAAAAGCTTTCGCCTGTGCAACTAGGGTAACTAGGCATTCAAAGAAGCCATTCGTTCTTCTTTTGGTGCTTCCGACGCTTCTGATTTAAGTCAAAAATAGATCCGTTCTGAGGATAGTTCGAATCTTGTTCCGATTTGGTCTTGTTTGAAGCTTCACAAAATCCTCAACACTGTCCGAAGTGCAAGATCTTTGACATTCCCTTCAAGCAAATTAATAAGTGTTATGTTCACAACCCCATCTAACCAAACTTCACTAAGGCAGGAAAAAGTAAACAGGCTGGATGCACGTGACAGGCATTGTGGTCACTGCACAGAGCTTGGAGGTATACCCAGCTTCAGCCAATATAGGAAGTGTTACCCAGCAATGCTCATGCTGTAGGGTACCATGCAGCTGTATTACAATGTCTTTTGTTTAATCATGATTTTGGTTTAGTTCCATTCTCCCGTGCATTTTAGGAGGTGCTTTCGATCTTTGGCTTTGCAAAAATAACGGAAAGGGGTTGACCGGGTTAACATCTCGATTTCTGAGCTGGGCATTCCTCTGTTTTCAGCCTATAACTTTCGGCGCATCAATCTGCTAGTGTCAATTCAGTGGCGCGCTTGCGTTGCCCTTGAGCCCAAAGCCTGCATCAAAACATAGAAACAGCTTAAATCTCCTTAGCTTCAAGATGATCAAGATGGTCAGGTAGTTCACAGTTCATCTCCATCCTTAGCCTACCTCATTACCATCGGGTAATGTATCGTAGCTTGCAACAAACCTATTAAACATGGCCATTTATTCCTACTTACCCATGAAACATAGTGATTTTCGCCATGTTAGTCTACCAAAGAGGGCATACAAATAGATACAAATAGATATAAATAGATATAAATAGATATAAAGAGATATAAAGATATATAAAGAGATATTAAAGAATATAAATAAATATAGACAGATATAAATAGATATAAATAGATGCAAATAGACATATAAATAGATGTAAATAGATCTAAATATATATAAATAGATGCAAATAGATATAAATAGATGTAAAAATAAATAAATATATATATATATACATAGATATAAATAGATCTAAATATATAAATATATAAATAAAGATACAAAGAGATATAAATTGATATAAATAGATATAAATAGAGATAAAGAGATGTAAATACATATAAATAACTATGAAATAAATATAATAATAGGTATAAATAGATAAATAAATATATATATATGGATGTAAATAGATATGAATATATATATAAATAGATGTAAATAGATATAAGTATAAATAGATATAAATAGATATACACATATATATATATAAATAGATATAACGAGATATAAACAAATATAGATAACTATGAAATAAATAAATAAATATATATATATATACGAATATAAATAGATGTAAATAGATATAAATATATATAAATAGATGTAATTAGATATAAAGAGATATACATAGATGTTAATACATATAAAAATATATATAAATAAATATATATATATATGTAAATAGATATTAATAGATATGAATATATATATATATGTATATAAAATGTATAAATAGATGTAAATAGATAGAAATAGATATAAATATAAATATATATACATATATATATATATAGATAGAGGCAGAGCATATGGCTAGGCCACTTCCATGGACCAGCTGAGACCCGGACCAAATCCTGCGTTCAGGATCCCAGGAGCCACCGCACCGGGGACGAGGTAGGAGGCTGGGCCGGCTGGGCGATGGCTACATGCTCTTCTTACTCTTCTTTCTTCTAATCTTCCTCTTCTCTCTGCCTCTTCCCTGCTCTGCTTTTCATCTGTCCATATTGTCGGAAGTTTGACTTCTAAACTTCCTTCGATAATGTATATATATATGTATATATGTATGTATGTATGTATGTAAGTGTAACCCTACTTTTTCCATCTTCCCAGTATATTACCCTCTGGTAAACGGTCCCATAACCATGGAAAATCACCATTTTTAAATGGGTAAATCCACTATTTCTATGGCAATTTTCAATAGCTATGTTAGTTTACCAGAGGGTAAAATCATGAAACAACATCACATGTGTTCATGTCTTTTTTTTCAAAGTTAATTCCCATGTTGGGGGATTTGTTTTAATGAAATTTATATATCCAATATCCAATGGATATCATATGGTATTTAATTATGATATTGGATATTAAATTCCAATGGATAATTTAAGTAAATCCCATGGACTTTAATATCCAATATCAATTATCATATGTTGATCATGGTGAATGTCATCTTCTGGGTCCCATGAAACACAGCCGTTGCCTGGTCCGTCTAGGCCGCCTTGGGCGGTCGGCGCACCTGGAAAATGGCTGAAGTGGACGTAGTACAGTATACAAATGCCTATGTATCTGTGTATCTGTGTATCTATGTATATGGGTAAAACTGGCTGAAGTTTCTGTGTATCTATGTATATGGGTATCTATCTATGTATCTATCTATCGATCCATCTATCCATTCCCAAAATTGGAATAAATTAACGGTTTACTGAAATTACCAAAAGCTGTTGTCGCCATTCACCTGAAATTTTGACTGAGACCCATATTATAAACCTTTCACAAGGATGAGAATGAAGAGATTGATGAGATTATCACTCTCCAACTTCACAGTCCCTGTAGCATCCAAACACATCCAAACGACCCTCTGGTAATCAAACAATGGCAACTGAAAATCCTATATCAATGTTTAAATATTTTTTGGATGGATCATGGGAAATGATATGGGAATCCTATCTGTAAAGCACACACACACATATATTATATATTTCTGGGTAAATTATAATATTTCACTAATCTGAATTAAGGCCATTTGGGGATGATTCCCCTAACATAAACCATGATTTCCAGGGTTCGGGAGAACAGTGAGGTCGTGATCAAATTTACCCAGATATATATAAATAAATATAAATAAATGGGGAATTGTCCAGTTGCCATGTTTGATTCTCAGAGGCTCTCATTGGGATGACGCCCCCGCGCCTGCTCCGCATGCCTCGAATGCAGGGCGGTGCTGGGCACAGGTGGATGAAGCGGAAACCATCCCCAAAGGGTACCCGGCCTGGTTATGACTAACAGTTTGCCATGGTATAGATGGCCCATATATAGAGGTTTACTTATTAAAAATGGAGATTTTCCATGGCGAACTGTTAGTCATAACCAGATGGTAAGTCATAAGTATACTTAGATTGTTTATCCCACCAACGAATCAATTGGATTAAGACATTTAGTCAATTCACATGGACCCAGCCAAATAGTGGTTCTAAAGACATATCTTACATTTCGTGGTTGTAAGACTACTTTCCAATGGTTGTTTTGCGTTATTTGGGTATGTCTGAAAATGGGGTATACCCCCAATTATAGCCATTTAGTAGGGATAATGATCATTAACCATTGGGTGTAGGGGTACACTATTTTCAGACAAACCCATTTTCAGGGTGCAACTGTCAGTTTCGGGCAGGGGAATGCCATCCATAAAATCCCAACGTTCGAGCGGGCCGTGCCAGGCCGTGCCTGGTGCCCTTGCGGTGCACCTAGGAAGGGATGGCATGGTTTGGTTGCAACCCAGGGAAAGTCACC